TGTTCATTTAATATAGTTAAATATTATTGCACCATATCAATAAAAATATTAATAATAATATCTAAGTTTATACTTTTGCCGTTAGAGTAAAGTAAATATATATGCAGTTAAAAAATGTATACTTTGTGTTAAGATCAGTCCTTGTTGAAATTTTTACGTCAAAATTTTTATACATACATGTATTAATTTAATGTATCGTAACGTGTTTACGTTATCTCAATTTTTTTTTGTTGAGTCGATATTCATAGCGAGTAAGTATTAAAATAACGCTATTTTATACGTTAGTGTCAACTAACATATTATAGATATTAATTTTGTGTTCATTTTTGATATAATATTTTTGTCATTTTTTAACATATTCACTTTGTGTTAAATTAGTACAAAAATGTGGCCGTTTAGGACATGTGAAATTTGTTAGGTTTAACAGCAAATTTTTTACCGTGCCAGCTAGCGATGAAAAGTTATATGAAGTTATAACGGTAGTTCAGCTAAAAAGAGCAGGCTTTTCAATTCTCATGTGAGTCGCATGAGGTCGGCTTGTTGTTCCGCTTCACTTAAATTTGCTTTACGGAAATCGTATTATTTACGAGACGGGCCAACATTTTATGCGATTCGCCCTTGACTCTGCCCGACGGTGAGCACACGTTCGCACGAAGAAACTTACCGGGTATTGAAAGCGACGATAATCAACTTTATAAACAGCAGGCTGTAAGCCATAGTCGCGCTCATCTCGTCCATGAGAAGCGAGAGATCCTGCGCGTCGAAGTGCGCGATCAGGTGCCGGTACTGAAACGTCTGAAACACCGCCACCGTAGATATACAGGCGAGTCTGCGCGGGATTGCGTACGATGTGCCCGGCCATACACCAACCAGGCGCAGCCCGAGCTCCACGGAACGGCACACGGTGCTGGTCGAGCTCGTCTCACCCTCCGTACGACCCTTCATAGGTCAATTCTACGAGCCGCCGATCAACTGCAAGATAATCCGGTGATCCGCTGCAACTCTCTGTTTAACCCAACCGCCGTTTACATCACAGCCGGAGATGTAATCTAGCAGAGGACAGCGATTCGTATCGTCAAGGTGGTCAGCGGAGCAGATCACTCGCGCGATTCCGCGCAAATATTTATTCTCCGCGGGGGAACTTCGACACGGTCACACCGAGGACACCACTGGACTTGATAGCGCGATCGGCCGGCACATGGACGCCGAAACTTCCGGGTGTGGCATGATCGATAGTCGCGGGCTCGAAGTCGTCGAAGGTGGACGTGCTCGCTCGAGAGATCTCAATGAAACTGCAAAACTCAATGGACTCGGCGCTCCCGCGACCCCCAGCGCGATTATAGACGGCCGATGGAAATTTCTCATCGTGCACCGTCGTGCAGCGCCGTTTTCTCCTGCGATCCCCGCCGATAAAAGATGCAAGCCTATAATTACGTTTGCAAAAAAAAAACCGCAGGCGGAGGCCGCACATCCCCGCGTGCTCTCCGAGTCGTTCGATCGCCGGCCGATATTTCCGTTAAAAATGCAAGACGGGTGCTCATCCACGCGCTGAGCGAAATATGCGACGTACAGACTGAAACTTTGACGCGGCGACGAGAGACACGGAGACCGGTGATTGGGGGGGAGGGGGGGCATGAATTCATAAGGACGAATTGAGCGCGAAGGTGAAAGCTCGTCGATGATGAGAGAAGAGCATCGGAGGAGGATCGAACGGAGCGCAAAAAGATGCCCGTCCAATACCGCAAGCACCATCGTCGACCCCGATGAATTACGTCGGCGCGCTTTTTACGAGAAGTCGCGTTATACGTCTGCGAGACCTCGGAGTCAATTAATAACGTCTCCAGACGTTACCATCAATAACGGCGAGTGTACGGATGCCGCGTCCTCGATTATTCAGAGCTTCCGGAGGAGCTTGCGGCGCGGGAGGCGCCGACGGCTTCGAGTAATCCGAAAATTTATCTCATCGTGCTTCTTGGGAAGATACTCTTTACTTGCGTCATTGAGACACGAAGTTACGGCTAGATCTGTTATAACTCGACGAAACAAGAGGAGAATGTAAAACGGAAAAATTATCTTTCTAAACGTTCATCATGCGTCGACTCGAATGGCGCTAGACATGAAAGATACATTTGTCGAAATATGACAGTCAATTCCAATGAATTCTAACTAATTGAGTAAGGTGACATCTGTCTGCGTATTTCCCTTTGGAAACGACGAGGAACGTCTCGAGAATCGCGGATACGTCGTCGGTACTGCCCATGTTGAAATCTCCCTCGCTGGTCAAGATCGATAGCCGAGATCGAAAGCACTTCCGTGACCATCGTCGTTCATCGACTAATCCCTACCTGTTGGATATCTGCGATGTATCGTAGACGGTACCACGGCCTCGTGACTACCAGCAATTTTTCACGGACGATGACAGCCGCTCCGCAACTGAAAAGCGGAGGGACTTTCCTTCCCTCCGTCCTCGAGCTTACGACCACGATGCAAGTGTGCTACGCTCCCTTTTAAAAATGCAACGGTGAGCTCGAGAAGGTACGTATCTTCCACGAATCGTACTCGCAACGTACTCGAAAAGTTTCGTCACCGAGGGGAGGAAGCTTGTTGCGCGGGGTCACGGGGGAGTAAGGCGAAGACGTATCGCGGAAGTTTATTGTGATGGGAAGATCAGTACGAAGATATCGTGTTGTGGCTACTCAAAACGACAGTTCGCTGATAACAGCGTGGACGAGAACACGTGGCGACGGAGACAGGTGAAGTGCAACGGGCGATTTTTCCTCACAATCGAGGCGAGTATCCCGTAATATTAGCTTTTAATTCTAAATATAATCTCATTGAGCGATTCATTCAATCGTTCAAAATACGATGTATGTGGAAAAATGATATTGGTAATTTTTTACGGTATCCTGTTTTCGCCTCCTCTCTCTCTCTCTCTCTCTCTCTCTCTCTCTCTCTCTCTTCTTTCTTATATACATATATATTTAATCTCTTCAGAGATACTGTGACATATATATTTACCTTTAGATATGTTTAATTTTTTTTTAATTAATTATTATGAGTCAATTTTCTAACAAGAAAAAGAAAAATTTTGTCATATGGCTGACATATGATTGATGTCACAATTATGTCACTTGAAAATTTAGTCCTCTTCCGACTTTGCTAAATTCGACTTTTAGGAGGATCTTCGGAATTTTCATTTTGTATTCCAGAAACAAATAATTTCTCTTATTTTAACGTTATCGGGCTCGATAAAAGCACATCAATCGGAAGAAACGCGTTATATTTACGATTCCGTGCTTATACGTTACAGGCCATGTAAAGCTATCAATACTTTAGTAAACGATATCCCCGCTCGTTTACTCGCATATATTCGATATGAAACCTCATCGGCTTTCTGGAGGAAACTCGCTAATCGTGTTTACAGCTGACGGCGGTAGTAGAAGTATAATATTCTTCCGTGCACGTAAGCAGCCATACAAAGTACGTTAAAGCTTCAGTACATCGCGTGTAACACCGACATGTATGACGCCGAGGCTTTCACGATCTACAACATGATAGAAGCATACACGACTATCGTGTGGTAACATCGTACCCGCTATAAAAATGATTGGAAAATGTCGAAAACTTCGGAAAAATACGCAAACAATTATGCTTGCATTGGTCTCTTCATCGATCGTTTTCGTAAACTTGTTAAAATCTTACGTTGCCGAATTGCCTCAAGGAAAGATTCACAAACTTGCCGGCGGTGAGCGTCAGACGCTTCTGCGATCTCACGATCATGAAGAAAAGATCGCGATTTTCATTCGGCTTCAGATCGTACCAGAGCGATTCGTATGCCGCGTCGCCGATCATTTCGCTCTGCAACACACGGCAAGGTTTCGTCGCGGAACAAGAAATTTCGCATTTAGAGCGATATTTATGATCAAATCTTATATTTAATGTCATTTTAAAAAATTCATCTCAAGTTCATCTTAAAAACCATATAACCATAAAATGGTCCTTATAACATCTTGAGACGAAGTTAAGATTTGAAATCCAGCGTCAAATCATACGTATCAATATCTTCCTTAGTGTGCCTTATAATAAATACACTGACCTTTGAACTGAGATACTCTCCGACGAAACAAAATATAAACGCTTGCATGCCGATGCTGATGTAAAACAATACAGACTTCACCAACATCGTCGTCCCATTCGGGATATTAATGGACTGAAATTATCGAGATATCGTGTGTCCCGACAGAAACGTTCGATATGTCAGACTACTCACGATCACGATGAGAAAGCCCAGGCAACAGATGATCAGAGTGTCCGATAGAAATTGTATTAGCGCGATTTTCGAGAACAGAGTCTCGATGTTCTTGGAGAAGGAGATAATCCTCTGATGTCGAATGACCAGTATTTTCACCATGCATGTATCTCGCTCGATATCCTTCCGGGTGATTGTGCTCAATTTTTGCTGCACTATGTCAATTTGTCCGCACACATGAAGAACCTAAACATCATTAGACGTGCTCTCTTTAATTCTTCAGCAAACCGTATAACAAAAACGAACGAGTGAATTCCTTAAAAATTCAGTATATAGGAACTAAATTTTTGTCTTTAGAAGATTTCGTAATTTTATTAAGCAGATATTTTTATATTTATATATATATATCATTATATATATTTTTTATATATAATTATATATGTTATATAGCATTATATATATAATTATGTATTTGTGTCTGATATAATTATATATATAATATGTATTTATTACAATATTTATTTGACACAATTATATATATCCCCTTCTTAAATAAAATAATATATATTGTCACTAACATTTCTATTAATCACATATTTGCAGAGCGAATTGCTCCGTCAAGCCAGCTGTACCGCGTCGCATTGCAACTTGCAGAAACACACCGATGAATCACGGAATGTTCGCGCTTACCAAAGTCAACAGCAAGGCATCCAACATAGCCAAGATACCAGCGGCGCTCATCTGATGAATGAACTGTGTAACGAGAACAGCTACGTAGACAGATCCGTTCTCGATGTCGAAGGGCAGATCCATTTTGAGGAAGAGTTCCCGGTCTACGGTCCGATTGTCATTCTTGCGTAACATGAGGGTGCCAGTGGCGTAGAATAAGACCGACGTCGCGCCCGAGGCGATGATCAAATTGGAGAAGCGACGAGCGGCGAAAGCCATCCTGGTCATTGCGTGCTCGTCGGACGCGTCGCGCTCTTTCCAGTCCTCGGCCACGCATGCTATGATTTCATCGAGCAGACTATAACGAATTAATTTCGGAAAGTGATCGTTACAACGTACGACGAGGACACGGATCTTCTCGCGAGATGTCATTGAAGTCTCGTGGATTCGTAATCGAATGCCGGGCCGTTCGACGAGACGTGTATTCCCGATCGAGAATAACGAGCGTGGGAATTAAAGTCGCCCTCGTGCCGCAAATCGCGCTCATCGTCGAGAATTCGCTACGAAGCGCTTACCGTGCATTGCAGGCAAGGAGTATCAGCTTGATGAACAGCAAGCTGTAAGCCATGGTAGCGCTCAGAACGTCCATGAAGAGCGAGAGGTCCTGCTCGCTGAAGTGAGCGAACAGGTATCTGTACTGAAAGACCTGAAACATCGCCATCAGAGATATGTAGGAGAGTCCACGGGAGATCGACGTGCCCGGCCACATGCCGATCACGCGAAGTCCGAACTCCACGGAGCGGCACACGGTGCTCATCGGACCCGCGTCACTTTTCATCAGGCCGTCCGAACAGATCCCGCGAGTCGGTCGCACCTGGTCTGCACGGAGCTTCGGCACTGATTACCGCTTGACTCGCTTTTCCGTCGCAGTCTACATTACAGACGCGGCCAGGAACGTAGGTTTCCTGGCAGATTGGATTTACTCGAGCCGAGTATCTACCGCTGGAATTCGCCTCGGCTGTTGCACGTCGGAAGTTCGCGGCGTCATTGACTGGAACACGAGCGACGGAAGTGCCGATCGCAGCCGGATCGATAAAGCGACCTGTTCGAAGTCGGTCTTCGCTTGGTTGACGCGGTTGGTCGAAGGGTCTCGGGGAAACTGCAAAATTCTAGGGATTCCGCGGTCGCACGACCCCCACTTCCATCCACGATCGACCAATAGGAATTATACCTGTCGCGTATACCCAGGATACTTTCTTCTTCGTCTTGAAAGTCACGAGTAAAAAGTGCGAACCGATAATTGCGATTACAAAAAAGATGCATAGCCAGGAACAAGGGCGAACAAGCGCGTTCCTTGCTCGTGCGGCGTTGTTGGCGTTAAAAATGCAACGCGAGCGTACCGCTCGTGTGGCTGCGTAATTTCGTTCGGGGAATAATTAAGGATGTCAGACGGTGCGGAAAAAAGCGTGGAAATAGTGGAACATCAATTGATGAGAAAAAATTGAGAGAAAAAGAGAACGGAGAGGAGACGGTTCGCGATGGCGCAAAGGCAGGCTGGACATTGGGGAAGATCGGACGGACGGCACGGGGAGATCATTAAATTTCAAAGCAAACGTCGTGTCGATTACGGACGTGTATTGACGTATTTTTTTTACATGAGGTTGCAATGTGTTCGCAGGAGATGTTATGTTTTTCATAATAGCTACGAATGTACACGGGGGACTCACGGCGCGTCTTCGATTATTCATGCTCCTCTCAAGACATCGCATGCAGCACGGACACGTAGGACGCCGACGCCTTGATAATCTAGAAAAGAAACATGTTTCAACTGATACTACCCGTGTTGGTCGCTGAAACGTCACATAATATTTTGGCAAATTAAAGCTGAGTCGTGTGCGCACACAGAGGATGGAGACACAGTTTTCATGTACATTTTTGTGAAAAGGGAAAGTATTATCTCTCTTTTTCGCGAGCGTGCAAATCAAATCCGAAGTAGCAACGTCAAAAAGATGTCGAAAACGAGTAGCAATTTTCATCGGGAAGAAGCATCGATCTCGAGGTACACCTTACTGTGGTAAAACGCTCCAATGAGAGATCCATAAATTTGCCGATCGTGATAGTCAGTTTCCTTTGTGACCTCAAGATTAGCAACAATATAATGCGGCTTTGCGTAGGACTCGAGTTGTACCACTTCGCGTCGTACGCGGCATCACCGATCATTCTACCCTACAAGCGAGCGCATAATTAGGCCGGTGAAGAGTCGCGGAAAATCGTTCGCACGAAGTCCGAAAAGATGATTGAAATCCGAAAAACGCGTCCATAAATTGTTCTGACCTTAGCACTGAGATATTCTCCAGCGTAACAAAATATGAACGCCTCCAGAGTGATAACGAGGTAGAAGAAGAGAGACTTGATCAGCATCGTCGAACCCTCTGTGTCGCCGATCGACTATAACACGGTCAGAAACAGCAGGTAGTAAAATGTCGCATTTCCAGATAAACTGTCGATTTTTTAAATAAAGATTTGCAATTAGATTTCCCTGACCATGATTGAAAATCTAATTGAAAATCTATACTAAAAAAACTAACGGCCCATGGAACAAACGAAAGCAATAGTCTAATTAGCCACACTCGATTACTCTCCCTATAACCCAAGAATGATCGATTGTGGTTGGTAAATTTGCCTGCCACTTGCGTTTTGTGTGTGTATATGCACGTATTATAAGCCTTAGATTTTTTAAGTACAGATTTTCAATTAGATTTCTAATTACCCTTATCGTTATATTAATAGTGACGTTCACGTGCGTTCGGTCGTTCGTGCCGCGTCGTGCATTGTGAAGCGTTACTCACGGTCACAATTACGAATCCGAGGGAGCAGATGACCAAAGTGTTCCACAGGAACTGCATCAGCGCTATATAGGAAAAGAGCGTCTCGATGTCGCTCGAGAGCGCGATAATTCTCTGGTGCTGGCGTATTAACGCTTTGACATCCGAGGCCCGCGAGTCAAAAGTGCGGCCGCCCGAGGAGATTTCTACTAACTCCCGGCACATAATATCGATCTGACCACCTACGTGAAGAATCTAAAAATAACGGTCAACGCCCTGCAGGGTGTTCTCGACATTGGTGCGACCCAATGTAAAGAACAACTTGTGTATGCAGAGGTTCTTCGGCAGCGAAGGCCGACGGTAGACAAATAAGATTCGCCGAGTCTTAAGGCTATACCTTTATACCGACACGCAACACACACGGGATATAAATCTGAAACGAAGTGGAAGAAAATTGAATAATACATAAAAAAGGACGGGCTCATGTTGAAGGTACACTTCAGGATCTCCGCAATCTCGAGCGCTGAATGGCCGAAGGTAGTCTCTCGTACGTGTCATTCTGAACAAAATTGTAGTCCCGTTATAAAGGGAGGAAAGATTTAAAAGGAGAAAGGTGCGGACGTTTATAATCAGCTTATATCGACGATCATTAGAGCGCTTTTCATTATGCATATAACGGTACGTGAAGTAAGTGATTAATCGCCCAGATGGCACGGAAGTATCTCATTAGCTCGAATGCTCATTACGCGGAGGCGACACGCTAGAGAGAGAGAGAGATCCGATTAAAATTGTTTTATTATTTTACTAAATGACTTAAATTACATATTTCCATACTGTGAGAAGTAATTGTACGCGATAATTGTACACGGCACATTTAGCAGTACATTAATTCTAATTACGCAAGGATGCTTCGGATATTATATTTCGCGATACCTTTCGGTTCTTAAGTACGAAGTAAACAGTTTCTCTCTGGTTTCCCTCCGCTTCAGGATGGATCATTTACCGGCAGAAGTTTACAACACTGACTCCGGATTCTCCTCGCGTTGTTAAATTACGTTTTACTCTCTCTCTCTCTCTCTCTCTCGGAGTCTCGTATATATTTCGAACTTTCACGTTAGACGCCACGTAATCGTAGAAATATATTTCTATTTTTTTCATTTGACCGCATGTACGCAAATTTACTTCTTTGACTCAACAGTCAAAGGAGTAAATCCCGCGTTAAATGTGTTTTTCAAAGGGTCGACATCGCCCCGCGAATGAAGTTCACTCACCAATGAGACTATCAAGGCATTCAGCACGCCGACTATAGTCGCCGCTGCGAGCTGATGGAAAAATTGCACGACCATGACGACCTCGTAGATAGGTGAGGCGTTGGATTCGAAGGGCAGTTCCATCTTGAGAAAAAGTTCTCGCTCTAGTACTGAGAGGTGCTCGTTCTCGACCTCGTTGGGATCGTCGGTGTGACCGACCAGCACCCCGGTACCGTAGAGGAATACTGACATCGAGTAGAGACCGATGATCAGATTGGAAGATCGGTGCGAGACATCGATCGTCCTTGACATTGAACACGCGGCCCAGTCGGTCACACACTCGCTTCGATCCCGTGCCATCATCATGAGGATGTCATGAAATATCCTGCGAGAAACTCGACTGTCAAGGGCGAGAATGTGGCTATCAGCCTGCTTCCTCTATGTACGTACTATATGTGCGTATAGTGCGTATGCGTTGCAAATAGAATTACGTTCGAAAAACCTTCAAACAATCGTGTGCAAAAATTTATCAAAGGAGGCAATTTTTCGCATACTGTAAACTTTAACGTATCAGATAATTTACTTGTCATTTAGATGATCATACGCTTATCACATTATCATATAGTTATCGTATAGTTGTATCATATAAATTATCATAATAAATATCACGTATAATTTATATCATATAAACATATTTTCACGAGCAGATGCAGCGGCCGGTACATCAAATGGGCCGGCGTCGCGAAGGAAAGAACGATCCTTTCCATCACATTTCACCTCACTTTCAAAAAAATTCCGACCGATTTAAATGCAGTGCAAAGCCGCCTGCATGGGCAAGGCCGTATTGTTGACAACGTGTTCTCGCGTCTTTCAGTTGTGCGACCGAGAGACTACGACGAGACTCACCGCCGGTGGACCCAGAATATCGTGAGTTTCAGCAGCAGAAGGCTGTAGGACATTGTGGTGCTGAGACCGTCCATGAGATGTGAAAGGTCGTCGGTGCGCACGTGTACGATGAAGTAACGATATTGAAAAGTCTGGGCGATCGTGAGCGTGATCATCCAGAAAGCGCGACGGAGACTTGTGTAAGACGAATCGGGCCATACGCCGATCGCGCGGAGACCGATCTCGATCGAGCGACTGACGATACCGACGAACGTCGAGTCGATCTTCGATGCCATTGGTGAAGTTCCGCGCCCGGATTGACGTCGCCGGTGGTTCTTTCTTACGTCTACACCGTCGCGAAATATCCCGATGCGCCTCGTCGAAAATCTGGCCGTGCGCTCCGCGTCACGACGACGTCGAACGCATGGATAAATACACGCGGGGGTAAGTATAGAAGATCGTTGTATACGTATATCTCTGACTCCTCACCCCTGTGTCCTTTGAGAACCAATGGGAAATACCGGCGAGAAATTCGCGAGACTCGACGGAGAAATTGCTGGATAAGGTTGTGACGGTTCACGGTAAGATAACTACGGCTATAGATGGGGAGAGAAAAAAAGGGGAATCAGCGCGGAGGGAGGATAGAGAGAGAGAGAGAGAGAGAAAGCGAGAACGTCGCACGTGGGATTACTTCGAATCCTTAAAAATTCAGGAGTCGTGCGAGTTCGATCACGCGTGAGACCCTCGAGAGGTTAATGACCGGACAGGTCATCCTGAAACAGCGAGAAACGCGCCGAACGAACGTGAGCTGCGCGGCGAGGGAAATTAAATTGTTACATCCGGTTGGATGTGGTGGGTGTACGCGGCGCGGGAAAGAAATAATTATTTGCAGCGGCGTATTTCCGTGTATTATCGCTGCGCACGAGCGATGAAGGAGACTTTTGTAGGTGCGCACATGTGTGTGGAAATTTAGAATATTCATGAGAATATATGTGCAGGAACCACTATGACTCCCGACTCCCTTTTACCGTCCGAGAGGCTGTATGAACGAATCGGTAACGCAACCGCATTTGTATCGCGTGATTTCGGCGAATTATTGCGCGAATACGGTGTTTGTGCGCCCGGATAATTACAAGGCTCCGTCTCGCCGCGGTATATATCGCGTGCACTTAAACGCACAATGCGAACACTTTTTATCCCCTGACCAAATACGAAGACACCATTATAAGCTGAAAACGGGTCGTTACGAAGGGAAAGGATACATTCAATCAGCCAAAAATCGAGGAAGAGAAAATAACAACCACATTGCGTACCGATACGAAGAAAAGAGAACATGGACGATGAACGAAATCGGTAAAAAAAAACGAAGAGAGAGAGAGAAGAGGAACGATACGTACATATAGATCGCGATATCGCTACGTGAGAAACCGCTGATGTTATTAAATCGACTAATTCACTAATTCCGTTTGAAGTGAAAACGATGAGTGTAATTCAGTGGAGGTATATTCACAAGTGTCATATAATGATCTAAGACTCGAAATTATCATAAAACTGTTTGCAAGACATGAAGTTCTTACGGCCTTAAGTCATACGAGACGGAAGCTCCATCCGTGACGTTCGCGAATACGACAGTCGATTGCTCGCAATTTGCATGAAGGATAGAATCGTTTATTTTAACAAAACACAATTTCTTACGAATCGTCTTCTTCTCATCGAAAAGCTCACTTTAGAACGGCTACATGTAATGCTACGCTTGTTACCGTCTGATACGTCAGTAACCACGATGGATGTGCTTGGCATGAGTAAGATCGTGATCCTCTCCAGTTTAATACATTGCGTGCAGCACTGACATATACGAAGCGGACGCTTTCATCACCTGGACGAAAGAAAACGATGAATTTCACTGGCGTAGCGAGCGGCCAATTATTTCCCGCTTTGTCTTAACAAACATTTCGCGGGCTGAGCCTACTGCTTATCTCGTTTATATGGCGTAAAATCGTAAGGCAGAATTCTTACGGTCGTGAATCCTTCCAAGGAGAGATCCATGACGTTCCCGGCGGTGATCGTCAGTCTCTTTTGCGACCTTAGTATCACAAACAATAAAATCCGGCATTCGGCAGGTGTCATTTTGTACCAGAGCGACTCGTACACTGCATCGCCGATTGATTTACTCTGAAAAGGTAATGTGAAAAAATCGTAAAGGAAACGATTTCTCGTATTATTTGAGTGAAATTTCGTGATTGAGTGGTATCGGCCCAAGAGACTCTTAGACATTCGAGAAGAATAAGTATCACAAAGTGTTAGACCGACCAAATTTGGTGCAATTCGACGAAATAAACATGTAGAAAAAAAGTATTAGGATCAAGTGAACGTAATTACCCGGTTTTCAGCCTCTTAAGTCAAGGAATATTTTTATCAATTTAAATATATTTTAGTAGCTTGTAGTAAGTATTTATTTGAATACAATAATATTTTAATTTATAAATGAGTTAGTAAATGTAATTCACAGAAATGTCCAAAACACTAGATCAGATAGATATCGCAATATTTTTAACATATCCCTATGATGTATACGACTCTGCAATGACTCTCTTGTGTCTGGAGTCTTAAGTTAAAGAACCGTTCTGTTTATGATTGATAACAAACTATACAGTGAAAAAAATATAAAAAAATAATAATTTAGACGAAAGTCTAGGATATGGAAGATTGTCTCAAAATTATGAGTTAGCCATTTTGTTAAGGCCTGAAATTTCCTGCGAGAGCATGGCTCGGCGAAAAGTTCGTCATGTTAATACTAAGAAATCATCATGTTATAACTAAGTAAAACAACGTGCAAACCTTAGCGCTTAGGTATTCCCCAGAGAAGCAAAAGATGAAGGCTTCGAGCGTCACGGCGATGTAAAAGATAATAGTCTTCATCAACATCATGGCGGCGCCGATTTCGGCAAGGGACTACGGCAGAGCGATGATCATTTCGGAAAATATGTTTCGAACATTCCTGCGCGATCCTGCGAAGAGTAATTGTTCCAGCAATTAAGACAAGACTACTACTCACGCCAATGATTGTGAAGCCGATGCAGCAAATGACCAAGGTATTCGACATAAATTGCATCAGCGCTATGCTCGAATAGAGCTCGTCGATGTTGTCCGAGAGCGTTATTATTCTTTGATGGCGAACGATCAAAAGTCTTACATCGGCGACGATTGATTCGCGCGGCTGAGATGAGTCGTAATGAATCATCGATAGCTCCTGACGCAAGATGTCGATCTGTCCGCTCACGTGAAGCACCTAAACGCGGCTATTAATGATCTGTAAATATCGTCTTTCCGAATCATCATTAACGAAAGTCCTCTTTGCGGACACTCCAACCCGAGAACGCGCGTAATTAAAAAAAAAAAAAGGAGAAAAAAGTAGACATCACGTCTATAGATCTTAGGCCCGTGTCTAGTCTTGTTTGTCTAGTCTAGTGTTTTAGTCGCTGTTTGAAACTTATTTCACATGAAGCATTCGAGTCTAAGTGTGGAGATAGCTTTGGACTTTTAAACTGAATCATACGATGTACATGAAATTTTAAAATCTAAACTCAGATCTGAGTGTCTTAATCTCAAGCATCAAGACCGTAGAAACGAGTCTTAGATTCGTATTAATAGCCGTGACTTGCAACTCGTTTCACATAAGACAATCAGGCCTGAATTTACAGAGTCAGATCTGAATTTCCTACTTGGACCGTATAATACACATGATTATATTTGTAGTCATGAATTATTTAATTAGTTATTCGTAATATACGTAGTTATATTCTGGACCGAGAAATTCACATCTAACTCTAAATTCAAATTTGAGTATTTCACTTGCGGCAAGTTTCATGTAACTAGTGCGAACCGTGTATTTTTAATGCCGTGTTATTATATATGTGTGTGTGTGTTTTTTTATGTATGTATATATATATATATATATATATATATATATATATATATATCGTTGTTATATATACATGAGACTTGCTTCAGGCGAAATACTCAGATGCAAATTTAAAATTAGATGTGAGTTTTTCAGCCGACTCGCGCTTATAAATATAATGTTACTCACCAATGTGACGATCAAGGAATTTATCGTGGCGACCAAAGCGGCGATCGACACCTCGTGGAGGAATTGACCAACTACCAAGAGCTCGAAGAACGGGGACGCGTTGACCTTGAAAGGGAACTCCATTTTGATGGGGAGTTCTCTCGAGCTAATGTTAAGATCATCCTTAAAGTCGCCCGACTGCCGTATTAGGCCGGTCATGGCGTAACTCATCGCAGCGATGGCATTGATGCTGATCAACATGTTGGAGCAAAGTCTCGACAGACTGGCATTGTCGGTCATGATACACAGCAACGATGGATCGCGATCAATCTGCGACGCGTCGTTCCAGTCCTTATCTATCGCCAGCAGGATGTCATAAAATATCCTGCGTACAATTGCGCGCTTACTTCGCGTGCTGGTCTTTTCCTTCTTCTTCCTCCCTGCAACTTGGGAATGCGGGAGGGAGGGAGGGAGGAAGAAGCTAGCTTCTCCACTTACAAAAATATTTCACTATTTTTAACCCGTAAAAATTGTTACTCTGAATAATAAAAACGTGCATTTAGCTGAATATAATCTCGTTTTAAGATCGAAAAGGTATACTTCAAGCACGAGTAAATACATGACTCTTTGATACGCTTCTTTCCATGTTGAAACGAAACTGAGTAAGAGAGGAACATGTTGTTTATTAACGTTCTGTTACTCAGCTGGAAAATGAATATTGAAGACAGACAATCTCTTCAAAAATACTCACGCATATTCTTGTGTATTCATTATAGTCGAGAATGCGTGAAACGAACATAAAAATAATAGAACGTGTTAAAACAGGCCGTATGAAAAATAAAATCGGTGAAATATTTCTATAAGGGTCACCTGCGATTCAACCAGAGAGAGACCAGCTTGAGGAAGCCGAGGCTGTACGACAGGGTGATGCTGAGCGCGTCGATGAGATTCGAGATGTTGTCGACGTCGAAATGGCCGAGGATGTACGAGTATTGAAAGTACAACGCGACCACCAGACTCATCATGTATGCGAAGCAAGAGTAGTTTCCATACGGCAGGCCCGGCCAGATCCCGACAAAGCGTAGGCCGATCTCGACAGAAGTGCTGATGGAAGTCGCGCGCATTATCTCGCGTGAATCGCCCGGCTGACTTCCTATCTCTCTCCCTCTCCCTCTCACGTCGGAAGTGAGCGATTACCGAGTGAGCGACGCTATTCGGAAATTAAACATGAGCTTCGGCGAGCTGAAAGCTATAACAGCGGCTGAGCTGCGCGAGGTAACAATGCGTCGACCCCGAGAACCCGCTCGTTATCGATTAATCGCAATTATGCGTGCTCCCGTCGTGCCTAATGCAGCGGCGCAGGAAAGAAAGCGTACTCCATGTATTCCCGATGATTACGGGTTGTTATTGTGTTGCTGTCGGCGGGAGAGAAGAATAATTCGTGGAGATACATATCAGACGTCTCACGAAAGGGGGACGCGGGTTATTTGCTTAAAAAATGTAGAGTCCACGGTGCGCACATAGCGAGATATCTCGCGCATGTCCGACCGTTTGGATATGCAGCTATTGAAAGGAACTCGGGAAGCGAGCGTGTGCGAAAGAAAAGGGAACGTCGGTGCAGAAAGGGGGAATGGGAATGTGAAAAGGTCGTGTAAGCTCTTGCGCTTTGAGTTGCCGTCTCTCGTGCGTTCAAATGTCGCGCGAAATTACCGGCAATAATGCGCACGTGTCTCTAACGAACCCGCCGGGAGAAAATATTTATTGCTCGCTCATTATTTACTATTTATTCGCTAATTACGTCGGTATTATGTACTTTGTCACATTGACTGCCGCGTCATTCGTAAACGAATGACGTTTATTCGACCGATACCACGTAGAACGTACAAGTTTTAAATTGAAGAGAATAGGGCCGTAATGAAGCGCAGATTCTGTAGTACTATAAAACGAGAATTGATGACCTAATCAAATCTTTATTATTATAATAAATCTAGTTAAATCTTTATTATTATAATAAACGAGGAAATCTTTCGCTCCTTGTCCAGACTTTCTTCAATAGGCATGGATCGAAAATTTTGATTATTTGTTACAATTAAGATTCTACTTTAGATTTTAATCCAGATCTTAATCTGTTTTCTTTTACGAGGTTGTTAATTCTCACTTTACAGCACTAGAAAATCCGTGCTTGGCTCATTACGGCCCTACTCTTTTTAATTTCGTAATTTCTTCGGGTCTTTTCCTTTATTGATTGATTTTACAAGTTTTATTTTAAAGTGGGCTTAACACCACAGGTGGTGACATAATTAACATAAAATGACGTTTAAAGATAAAAATGATGGTAATTGGAAAGAAGAATTCTATAACTCTAGGAAGGGTCTTCGTAAAATCAGCTTGACGTGCAAAATGTGTTAATATACTCGGAGATATACAAAACATGTTAGCTTACGTCATGAGTGTCTTAAGTTTATTAATCGAATATCCACGTTTATAATTAAGAATCATGCAATTCAGACGGATACGCTCCCGAGTCAAATGTATTTCTGTTCCACAGGTGATACAAAAAACCGCGCGCGCATATGCGTTATATATATATATATATATTATCAAGATTGTCGTCGTCATTAAGATGATCGATTTATCGTATTTCAAGAAACGTGAATTTCGTACACGTTTTTCTACTCGCATTCTCTGCGATGGGTTTCATCATTAGCGGAGGAACGAATTGCCATCTGTCAATTGATATCTGTGTCCGCTCGTTTCGGCGAAATTCTTGGTGGATTTCAGTGCATCGTGCGCAATGCCGATATATACGGAGTAAAGACTTCCATAACCCGGAGGAAGATAAATTATTTTTATTGTAAGTATCGCTTATGCATATCGAAGATATGCACATTGGCGCAAGCGTCGTGGAGTCGCTTACATCGTAAATTGTTTGCACAGTCAGTCAGTTTAAAATTCATTCGAGACGCGTTTAATATCGACGAGCGACATTGTATACGCGTATAAAAGCGAGCCTTACACTGGTGAGCTCCTCCGGAGGAAGATTCATCATTTTCCCGGCGATGATCGTCAATCTCTTTTGCGACTTCGCAATCACGAATAAGAGAGTTCGACATCGACTGACTGTCATATCGTACAATACCAGACGGACTCGTAGGCGGCATCTCCGATCGATTTGTCTTGAAAATCAAGCAGTTGAATTCAACGAAAGTCGACGACGACTGCGAGGCATATCCGCAGATGAAGGTATAACAAATTAAAATAATCATTCCAATCAAAAATATATGTGCGGCTCCGCAAAATTTAACATACATTGATATCTATACTGTGGGAACCAAATCTTTGCACAGTTGATCTAAAATTAAAAATTTTCCAAAGAATCCAAGGAAAGAGATCCTTGTAATATTGTCGGACAGTGTGATGATTCGTTGGTATTTTGGATGAATACTTTAATCTCCGGCGGTCACGAGGCGTTCCAAGAATATTTTCGTTAGGTCATGTTGCGTTATTTCGATCTGACCATTCACGCGAAGAATTTACAAGTGCTAAGTTTGTTGAAAATATATTCTACCACATCTTTCTCTCCTCTTTCTTTCTCCCGTTTTGACTTGTACGATTATCACTTATCTTTCACGCAAATTAATCAACTTCTGCTACACAATACAGACATTTATAGAGATTGACGTTAAACAACAATTAGCAAAACGGTTAATTAATCTACTAATGTAACAACTAACGAATTAACTTAAATTAACATCGCGATCAGAGAGAGGAGCGATAATTTGTGGAGAAATTGGACTACCGTCGTGATTTCGTAGATCGGGGGACTCATTAACCTTGAATGGGAATTCCATTTTGTGTATGTGACAGGAAAATCGAATCCTCGCCTCACGAGGATCGTTCTCGCCCTTGTTCTTCGCGGAGCGATGAACGAGGCCTCCGAGGGTACAGAAGACAGCAGCTGAAGCGTTGATGGACATTAAAATGTTAGAGCATCGGCGCGACAGGTTGGTATAGATTATTATCAGGTACATATGCGAATCAGCCATGATGTGGCCTCCTAATCTTCGTCCATTGTCGGCAGGATCTCGTGAAATATTCTACGGAGAATAACGTGAAGGAAAATATTCAGCGTGTTGACACACGCGTGATCCAAATAACGCGAAAGTCCAGAGACGCGTGAAAAGACACCCCCGAAAGACATCCGAAGAATTGGTGAGTCTCGCCGACGTCTCTTTACGTCTCTCGCGTCTTCCTGTTTCCTGGCAAGACACTTTTATATCGCTTGAATAAACACGAGATTCGAAACGCAAAGGGATCCGCGCGGAAAACACGAGTGTAAAAATAATAAAAATAAATAGTAGGATCCATATTCTTAGAAGAATCCATTTCATATCCCCTTTTCTGGTTTCACTTATGCACAGAAAAAAATTAATAACAATGCAAGATTCATATTTTCATATGTAAGCGAGAATATATAATCCTATGTGAAAATAAAACTTACTTATATGGAAAAATGTTATATAGTTCTACTGAAAATATTATATTCTTGTTACTCAAGAATAATTATCATGAGATGAGAGGAAAAAATATTAATAAATTAAATATGATTGCTCCAAAAATGGTAAAGAAAGAATATAGGGTAATAAGGAGGCAAAATTACACAAATATTATAGTGCCATTTAAATATTAATATTATCAATATTAATATTATTATGGAAGAATAAAAAAGTTTTCAGTATGTAATGGNGGCGGTTCAATAAGTACCCTTGTTAGACGACAGAGGGCGTTTCTGATGGAAGTTGGTGTTATCATAATGTGCTGTCGTATATCAAACGACGGTAAAACAAATTGCAGACTGATTGATGTGTTAGTTTGGATTTGGCAGCCATTCGAGTAAGACGTGTTTGGTGATTTTCGCTAAGATGAAAGAAGAGCAGTATCGTTCGGTAAATCGCTTTTTGATTTTGGATGGGAAAAAATGCGAGGAGATAAAAGCAAACTTGTATGCTGTTTATGGGGACACTTTGCCATCTATGACCACAGTTAGATATTAGTTCAACGAATTTAAAAGTGGGCGAACATCCGTTTTTGATGAGGAGCGACCAGGACGCCCGGCAGACGTGGTTACCGAGGAAATCATTCAAAAAGTCCACGACATGATTCTCGCTGATCGACGAACGAAAGTGCGCGAAGTAGCAAAGGCCGTAGGTGTGTCGACCGGAACGGCAATTAATATTTTACATGATAAGTTGGCGATGAAAAAATTGTCGGCCCGATGGGTGCCGCGATTGCTCACGGTGGACAACAAGCGGATGCGCCAAACTGCATGAATTGCGTTATGAATTGCTGCCGCACCCCCCCGTATTCACCCGATCTGGCTCCCTGCGACTTTTTCTTGTTCCCTAACATGAAGAAATGGCTCGCGGGAAAAAAATTTAGCTCAAACGAGGAAGTCATCGCCGAGACAGAGGCGTATTTTGGAGAGTTCAACAAATCCTATTTTTTGGAGGGGTTAAAAAAATGGCAGGAACGTTGGGAGAAGTGTATCTTTCTAAAAGGGGACTATGTTGAAAAATAAAAAAAAATTATTTGAAAAAATGGTGTCTTCATTTCTAACACGGGTACTTATTGAACCGCCCTCGTATACTAAATATTCTCCAGACGAACGTACGCGGAAAATCGACCTTTCACATTTAAACAAATTCTTGAGTCCCAGTAATATTACTATAATTCTAAATCCTCTTAAAACCCTTACCCAGATGCTAAATTAATTAATAACCAATTTTTAGATTCTATTTATTATTAAGAATTGTATCAGATTGAAGATATCGTTCTTTCTAACCAATATTTTTTCCTCTAAAAATGTATAAAAATTATTTTAATATATTTTTAGTGGAACAATATAGAAGTTTTTCATGTATAAGCAAGTTTTATCTTTATATAAGATTATATATTCTTGCTTATATATGAGAATATGAGTCTTAAATCGATTCTAAACCTTTTCCCCTGTGATTGATTTCGCAATTTATATCTTACGTCAGTTCTTATTGATGTTTTTCCTCTCAGTCATGTAAAATGTAAAAATAAATGTGTTATCAGCGCGTAGCAAGACTGAAATCAAAAGCCAATTAAAAAAATCGAACTGACAGGTCCATATCCTTCTCTTTACGTATGTAATGAAATAAATTACACATAGAATAATATTCATAGTCGAATCTTATATTTAAAATCGCCCCAAGTTCATTTTCAGATACTGTACAAATTGTTTCATGGGCTGCGATGCATCTAGAGAAAAAATTGAGGTGATCTTAAACATAAAATCCGACTTCGCTCATAGATTAACAATACTATCGTATTACAGGATATCGTCGAAAAGAGACGTAAATTCGCCGATTCACCTTCGATCGATAGCTTGCTTGCGATTCAGCCAGAAGCTTACCAATTTCAACAAAAGCGCTATAGGCCAGGGCTATACTCAGGGTTATGCTCAGCGCATCTATAAGCAGCGAAGGATTATTCATGTCGAAATTCTCGAAGATGCACATATACTAAAAGTACACCACTATCACCAGTGACGTTATGTAGACGAGCCACTGGAAATTGCCGTAAGACGAACCCGGCCATATGTCGATATATATCGAAGGTCCGTCTCCACCGAGGTGCTCACGGTTGTCACTCCCGTTATAGTCATACCTGTTATAGTCATCACGTTAGGTTGGATTCACATTATCCATCTAGACGACGGCAGGCAGACGTACGTCAATTTTTTGCCGAAACGTTTCTCAATGCTCAATGCTAGATGTGATGGTGACAGATACTGTGAACATTCCGATACAAAAGCATTGAAGAATATTTTGACGGAGGACTCACGGACGCTTGCTTGTCACTGTCCAGACGGACAGCGTGAATCTAGCCTTACAATTACGGTGATCCTCCGTCTGTTTCGCTAGATCCCTTGTCGTCAGGTGAGTCACCAAACTATCCTGCGAAACGCTCACGTCGATTAATCGGATACGCGTCGCGTGATGATGACGAGACAACTGACCGATCGCAGGGAGGTGAGCGACAAAGGGGTAAGACCTCTCCGGACGGTTATCGATCTTCGTGTAATTACGTCCGCGCAGTGCGTTTCTCCGAGTGCGCCTGCACTAAGGTTGCAGACTCGGCAAAAACGATCAGCAGGCTACCTCCTGCTATTGCCATATCGCGCAGTTATTTTCTTTGAAAATGTATATATCTTGCCCCGAGCATACGCTCATTCATATTACAGCGGTATTACCTATAATATCGTCGAAAGGGAAAAAAAACAATTTACGCTCCCGAAGTGGCGAGAGAGAATATTTTTGGAGAAGAAACACAAAAGACAGAAACGTAATACACAGATCGGCAAGGACATTATGAATGCTCTCGCGAAGTGGGCTGTTTTTCTGGATAACGATGTCTTTTACTGTGCGATAAGGGTGCAATAAAACAAAGTGAATGAGGGGTGATTTATATTCATCATAAGCAACTTTATGTGCGAATCTCAAAATCCACACTAAATATATACAGAAAAAAGTGCTGAATTCAAGATAAATAATTACTCCAATATTCCTTAGCAAATCTCTGTTTGGATTAAGTAAATTTTGCTTGGACCAAATAAATATTTATTTGGATAATTTAATTGGAAAATATTTTACTTGAATCAAGTAAATATTATTTGGCCCAAGTAAACATTTACTAAGGAGTATCGGAGTATATTTATTATTATATTTACTTGAATCTAGCAATTTTTTTCTGTGTAACAGTTTCGTGTATTAACGAATTTGCTTCCGCAATTTATCTCAACACACATCACGAATAACATAATTTTAACCCGATTGAACTGAAATTAAGAAATCATCATTATGTAATACGCATATCGTATTACATGATGATGACTTCTTAAAAGAAACAAATTGTTTTTTCTGTACGTGATATGAATGTAAGAGTAATATTTAGTACAACTTTTCTGACAAAATATCAGGTAAACAATGATAATTGTAAGACAAACGCGAAACGCTGGGCTTATCAGAGCGACGGTAAGAGCGTTTACAAAGGTAACAACATACAAATTAACGTACAGAGACTCACTGTACGGATGCGAGGAACTCGAAGGGCGGCGATTGCTCGACTTCAAAGGGGATTTTCAGCTTAAAAGGAAATTGCCGTGACATGTTACTGCGTTACTCCGTCAGATTCAGAGCACGCGTCGCGCGTATCTCCATCCCTTCCCGAAAAGATATAGTGTTGCGGGTGACACATTGACACTCCACATTATATCGGCGCAAAAATGTGAGATATTGGCTTTGATGGTCATGACGCGTAAGTGCCGATCGACATTACCGGCACTAACGCCAATCATCATCCATCATCAGCATGTCAATTTTGTGACACACTACAATTTATAACTGAATTCGGTCAGGTGTTTTTAACATAGAATGTGTCAGAATTGCAGGTAAACGGCTAGAAGAACTCACAAGAACAGATACAAAATGAGTCTCGGAGTCTTCTATATCTTGAAAACCACTAATGTACGGAAACTCAGACGAACGATCACGATTAGGCCAATCGGCTTCGTATTGTAACCGTAGTTACAATACGAGACATATGGAGGAAATAAATAAAGAAGAGGAATTGTGCCTCTTCTGTACTGAGGACTTGTAACGTAATAACAAGTAATTTTTTCCGATATTTCAGGGTTTGACTACGTCTTTCTACAAATAGACGTAGAAAGGATATCAAAAGTAAAGTCTGAATTGGCCAAAGATATACGGAGAAGCCTAATTGCAAGTAAGGCAACAAAGAGACTCTAAGTCTGAACAAAACTGTATGGATACGCTCAAAATTCAACCGCGTAAAAGTGCAACGACGAATATGTTTAACAAGACTGTGTTATTTTTTTCTAGGTAAAATTACTTTAATATGCAATTTAATAACGAAGCACCGAAAAGGCATTTATTATATCATGTTAAGTATAATCTTAACTTGTGATCAACAATTTTCCAATTACACTTCAAATCGCATCAATATCTAATCAAATCTTATTATAAAAATGTTTAAAATTTTTATAAGTCAGTATTTAAACTGTCTTCCCATGGTAATTACATAATTTTGCGCTACCGTATTATAATTTTAAATGTTACTAATACATCGCATGTAACACAGATACATATGATGCTGACGCCTTCATGATCTAGAATATGATTAAACACATTATCATTCGTAAAGAAATATATATATATATATATGTGTGTGTGTGTGTGTGTGTGTGTGTGTGTGTAAACAATATATTTGGTAATATAAGCGCTGAAATTAATTAGTAAACATACAAATTATTAGACAATAATAGAAAAAGAAAAATTCTCAAGCTTACACTAGCGAAAGCTTCTAACGATAAATTCATCATCCCTCCCGCCGTGATACTTAGTTGTTTCTGTGATCTCATAATGACAAATAATACATTTTTACCGTGATCAGACGACATGTTATACCATAATGATTCGTACGCTGCATCGGCGAGTAATCTACTCTGAGATTGAGAGCAATGCAACAAACAAAGATTCAAGTAAACTGATATTCCCTTTTATTTAAAAAATTAAAAACAGTAATTATAATCTATAAATATCATAAAATATTCGTAAAACAATGGGAAATAACTGTGTATATATGATTAAATCTTGCACGATAATTTTAGTGTAGCTACAATAAAAATGGCGAACAAACAAAAATTTCCGCTTATTATAAAATAGATGTATCTTTTTAAAGATATTTCAATCGAAAGCTATGCTAAACAATCAGGCCACTACGATTAATAATTAATTATTCTATGAGATTATGTGAAAAAGCCATGTACATTTCAACATTTCTCAATATATTCACTAACCTTTATACTAAGATACTCTCCCGCAAAGCAAAAGATAAAAATTTCCACCATTATAGCGCTGTAAGCAAATATGGTTTTCACCAAGCCAACGCCAAATTCATTATGAACAGACTATTACATTAAACGATCAGTTAAACTGAATTAATTACGATATCTATTATTACGCATTCGTAAGGATACTTCGATACTCACTGTAATGACGAGAAGTCCTAGGCAACAAATGACTAATGTATTCCAAAATACTTGCATCAGAGCCATAAAGGAAAAAAGTTGATCGAGATTCTCGGAAAATGTGATCACTTTATTGTGCCTCCCAATCAGTATATTTATTATATGTCCAGAAGATCCGTAATGAGATAGTTTCTCAGAAGCAGTTTTGAAATCTTGACATATGATATCAATTTGTCCGCTTGCGTGAAATACCTAAAAATACTGAAATTTCTGTAAAGATCTCAAGTGTTATTTTTAAAGAAGAAAATGCTTCCTGAAAGAGATCATTATCAAATTAGAAAGGAGAAAACATAATATAATATTGCCCATATTTGTGAATACGATAACCGATTATTCACATAATCATTTTTGTAGCGATAACTTTTTATAATTTTAGGTAAATTTTCCATTAATGTCGGACTTCGTGTAAAACCGAATTTCATAAGTGAAATTAAATAGTCAGTAAAACTAAATCACTTTCCGGGTTGCCAGTCGACTCGTTATAAAATTTTGCGAGACATACCAAAGTAAAGATCAAAGCGTTCAGAATAGCAACCGTGTATGTATTTAACAAAACATGGAGAAACAAGATGACGACGAGTAGCTCGTAGATCGGCGACTGCTCGGCCTCAAACGGAAACAGTATCTTGATAGGGAACGGTCGTGAGATATTATTGTCGCCCTCAGCCACATGTACGATACCAACCGCGTAATCACCCAGCAGGTATAGCACACCGGCGGTCACGTTGAAGCTCACCATAGCGTTCGAGCAAAAATGCGCGATACTGGCTTTCGCCGTCATTAACCGAAAATATTCATCAATATTCACGCACTCGCGCCAATCAGTGTCTATAGCGGCCAGTATTTCGCGAACCACTCTGCAATGTGTCACTTTAATCGAAATATCTCGTTCGGTGGCGTTATCACGTCTACACGAAATTATACATCGTCCCATCGATTAATTTAGACGGCATAATTATTAATTAAAGTTCCGTTTAGAAATTCCGTTAATAAAATCTAACGGACGAACGATACACGTTAAGAAACTCGGCCTCTCTTCTCGAAGCGAAAACGGATCGAAGAAACTGAAATTCGCATCAGGTGCGGTATCTTACCGATGATTCTTCCAAAGTGTCAATAGTTTGATGATCGTCAAACTATAATCTAAAGTCGGCGGCAAGCTGTCCACGAGATTCTGCAGCTCGCCGAAAGAGCAGTGCGCGAATACGTACAAGTACTGAAAGCATTGCACGATTAGTATGCTTGATATATAAATGAGCCGATTAATGGCGGCATGTGGCATGTTCGGCCACACGCCGAGGAATCGAAGTCCACTTTTCAGTGATGGACTGATCGTGCTCGTGACTATCATTTGTTAACGATGTTGAGAAGATACGAGGGAACTAAAGCCGGATAATGCACGTGGTGTACTGAAAGCGCACCGACCGATTCTCCAAGTGCACCCCCATGTGTCTCATATCCCCACTCCGGTTAACACTGATCAATCGTTACGTCTGCGTTGTGTAATATAACGGTAAGTTGAGATACTGCTCATTATCGACATTGACGTCCTGTAATTCCACTCTGTAATTCCACTCTGTAATTCCACTCTGAATAATATTATCCGACCGCGCATTGACGTTCTGAATAACGCCCTCTGAACACACATCGAGAAAAAAAGTTACACGTATGCCTCTTCAAGAGGTGAACAATTTATTCCGCAAATTTTCCTTCACCACAATGTAAGGCCGTCAACAAAAAACGGGTGACCCTCGCATTTTCTACGTGCACCGAAGACTATGTAACGTACGATGACTAGGTTGAACGATTATAATTCCGTATTAGTTATTCTAACAGAACGGAACTGAATTGCACGTGTGGCCACGTGTTTTGCAAGAAATAAACGAAAGAAGAATATTATGTCTCCCTTTGGCGAATAGCGAATAATGGCGTGTAATTTTCATAAATATTATGATGATATGTGTCCTCAAAAGTGCGCATATGGAGGTATATCAAAAGTTTAAATATTCTATATCGACCAGATATACGTAGAAGTTTAATGGAAGAACAAGTAATGTAAGGATGCTATCTAATACCTGTATAGAAATCTACAAACTTCCCGGAAAAAGAGCCACTTTATTTTTTCAAAAAAAGTATGTTAATATATAACATAACATCGAAGTAACAAAGAAGTATTTCTCATATCTTATTAAATATGAACTTAGATTTCATAAAATACAAATATTCGATCGCTCACATAGCCGATATCAAAATTCGTTATACAGTTATTATGTAATGTCATTTCACAAGAGTTTCTAAATTGTCACTCAGTTCTAATGACGCCTTTCAGTATTAATCCTGAGATACTATAGTTTCAAGTAAAATCAATACATTGCATTCAAGACGGACACATATGAAGCCGACGCTTTCATGATCTACAATTAGATGAAACAAATTAATCACAAACAGATGCATACATGTGTATAAGTAAACGTTATATTTGGTAAAAAGAGCCGGAATTAATTAGCAAAAGTTTATAAATTATTAGATAGCTCCTGATCACGAAAAATTCGAACGCTTACACTTGCGAAGGCTTCTAACGATAAATTCGCCATTCCTCCCGCTGTAAGGCTTAATTGTTTCTGTGATCTCATAATAACGAATAATATATTTTTACCGTTCGTAGGCGACATGTTGTACCATAAAGATTCATACGCTGCATCGGCGAGTGATTTACTCTGGGAGTAATGAAACACAACAGAAATTAAAATAAAATTATATCATTCTTCCGTAGATAAATTAGAAATAGTGGCTATAGATTATAAATATCACTCACACACACACACACACGCGCGCGCGCGCACGCACGCAAATGAGCCATTCGCAATACAATGAGAAATAATTCAATATATATATATGGGTCATTCCATGTGAAAGGGGTACGCTCAAAAATTAGATTTGATCGAAACCTATGGCAATCGGTAGTACTATTTTAGAAAACATTTGTCGAATTTTTGCGGATTTTTTGACCCACACCATGAGCTTCTATGGCTGTCATAAAATTCGAATTTTTGCTTCGACTACCAGTCTCTTAATTCTCGTCGTCGTCGTCGTGCCAATAAAAAAAATCTGAAACCATTGTAACTTTATAGCATTTTTCCCGTAGAATCTGAAAATAATATTTATAAAATTTTAGGGGGTAGTTTTCACCCTTATTTTGAGATTTTAATGTTTAAAATCGAAATTTCGCAAAGTACGCCACCTTCGATTTTTTTTGTTTTTTTTATTTTATTCCCTTTTAAATTTGCTTTCGATTAAGTCATGTCTCATGATGGTAATCGACCTGGAACAGGCCCAACATAAGGCCCAAAGGCAAAAATCCACCTTTTTACCGTTATATCTCAACCCTCAAGACGGTTGGGCCTGTTCCAGGTCGATTACCATCATGAGACATGACTTAATCGAAAGCAAATTTAAAAAGGAATAAAAACAAAAAAAAATCGAAGGTGGCGTACTTTGCGAAATTTCGATTTTAAACATTAAAATCTCAAAATAAGGGTGAAAACTACCCCCTAAAATTTTATAAATATTTTTTTCAGATTCTACGAGAAAAATGCTATAAAGTTACAATGGTTTCAGATTTTTTTTATTGGCACGACGACGACGACGACGAGAATTAAGAAACTGGTAGTCGAAGCAAAAATTCGAATTTTATGACAGCCATAGAAGCTCATGATGTGGGTCAAAAAATCCGCAAAAATTCGTCAAATGTTTTCTAAAATAGTACTACCGATTGCCATAGGTTTCGATCAAATCTAATTTTTGAGCGTACCCCTTTCACATGGAATGACCCATATATATATATATATATATGTGTGTGTGTGTGTGTATATATATGTGATATTTCTTAATCAATATATATATGTGTGTATATAAGTGATATTTCTTAATCAAAAATTGTCTTATACAATCATCCTACTATAATTAATAATTAATAATCGATTTAAATTGTTTGTGAAAAGCAAGGACACAAAAAATGTTTAAATAGTTACTAACCTTAAAACTAATATATTCTCCAGCGAAGCAAAAGATAAAAATTTCCACCATTATGCCGATGTAAGCAAGTAGACTTTTCACCATTCCCACGCCAGCTTCATTAGAAACAGACTGTATCATTAAACCATCAGATAAATAGAGTGAATTACGATGTCTGATTCACTGAATATTCCTAGGGATACAGCGATACCCACTGTCATTACGAGAAATCCCAGGCTACAGATGACCAAGGTATTCCAAAACACTTGCATTAAAGCCATAAAAGAAAAAAGTTTATCGAGATTCTTGGAAAATAATATAACTTTCTTGTGCCTTTCGATCAATATTCCTATTTTATGTTCACAATATCCACAATAGGACATTTTCTCAGAGATGGTTTTGAACTCTTCACATATGATATCAATTTGTCCACTTGCATGAAATACCTAAAATACACGTAAGTTTCTGCAAAGATTTCAAGCATTATGTTTGAATAAGAAGATATGGTCCGAAGATTACGTGTATTAAAAGAAAATAGAGTGCATAAAATAATATTGCTTAAACATGTCAACCGATTTTTCAATTATAACATTTCCGGTAAGGTGAGCATTTCATATCTTCGAATCAAGTTTTTACCAATGCTATAATTTGTGTAAAGGCAACTTTTGCAGACTTCACTTAAATCGCAGCTGATGTAATACAATTTCACTCACATAGATAATTTTATGTTATGAACCGACTTATTACAGAATATTGTGAGATGTACCAGAGTGAAAATTAGCGCGTTCACAATAGTAAGTGTGTACATGTTTAACATGACGTGCAGAAACAAGATGACGACCAACAGTTCATAGATCGGCGATTGCTCGGCCTCAAAAGGAAACGTTATTTTGATGGGAAACGGTCGTAAGGTATCATTGTCACCCTGGGCCTGATGTGCGATACCAATCGCGTAATCGCCCACGAAGTAGAGCGCACAGGCGATCGTGTTGAAACTCAGCATAGCATTTGTGCAAAAATGCGAGATGCTGGCTTTCGCCGTCATCACTTGCAAATACTGATCGACGTTCACGCACTCGCACCAATCACTGTCCATAGCGGCCAGAATTTCGCGAACAACGCTGTAATGTGTCGCTTTAATCGGATAGAGATACTTTGCACGGTGGCGTTATCACCTCTACACGAAATTACACATCGTTGAATTGACCAATATTTAGGTAACATAATTGTCAATTAACGTCCAGTTTTAAAATTAACGGATGAATGGTGCACATTACAAAGATTCTCCGTCTTGTTCTTCGGAAACGGATTGGAAAAACTAAAACTCGAGTTGTCTAACGCGAAATCTTACCGACGATTCTTCCAAAGTGTCATCAGTTTGAAGATAGTTAAATTATATTCTAATGTTGTCGGCAAGCTGTCCACGAGATTCTGCAACTCTTCGGGCTTGCAGTGCGCGAACAGGTACAGATATTGAAAGTATAGCATGATCAATATGCTCGTCATGTAAATTAGGCGGTTAACGGCAGCGAATGGCATGTCCGGCCATATACCAATGAACCGAAGACCGTTCTTCAACGACGGACTTATAGTGCTCGTAATTATCATCTGTCAACGATAGCGAGGAGATGCGAGGAAACTAAAGTCGGAGCATGCACAGCACGATGTGTTGAATAAACTAAGAGAGTACCGACCGATTCTCCAAGTGCATCCCCACGTGCTGCGTCCCTACTCCAATACCCACCGGTCAATCGTTATTATGCGTTGCATAGTATAACAGAAAGTCGAGATACAACTCATCATCAGCATGGACGTCTTGTAATTCCGTCGACTGTTCGAAATAATGCCTTCTGGCCGCGCATCGGAAAAAAAGTTACACGTATGTTTCTTTGAGGGGTGGTCGGTCTTTTTCCGCGAATTTCCCTTCACGACAATGTAATATGACAATGTAATATTTCGATGAAAAGTGTCTGATCCTTGCGTTTTTTACGTGTACCGAAGACCATTAAACGTATGGTGACTCGGCTCAACGATTGTAATTCCGCATTTGTTATTTGAACAGATCGAAATTGAATTACATTCGTGGCCATGAGTCTTGGAAACGAAGGGAGAAAATCGTATCTCTCTAGGACTGCAGGCGGATAACGAATAATAGTGTTTAACTTTCATAATTACTACTTTCATAATTACTACACTATGCGTGTTCTCAAAGGTACATATTGAAAGGTGTATCAAAAGTTAAAAAATTCTTCATTGACCAGGTATATTTAGAAATCTAGAATAGGGACAAATATTGTAAAGATATTATTTAACATGTGTGTAGAAATTTAAAAATTCCTTAAAGAAAATTCAACATAAATACCTTTAATATAATGTGAAGCCACTTTATTTTTTTCGAAATAATTATTTTCATGAATAACATGACATTAGAGTAACAAAAGTGTATTTCCCATGTCTTATTAAATATGAATCTGGATTTTACAAAAAGCGAATCACCGATCGGTTTCACAACCGATATCAAACTTTGTTACATAATTATTATATAATTTTATTCATAACGGTTTCTAAATTGTGATCCTAAGGATGCCATATATTGTTAACGCTGGCATACTACAGTTTTAAGTAAAATCAATACATAGCATTCAAAACAGACACATATGATGCCGATGCCTTCATGATCTACATTAAGATGAAACAAATTAGACGCAAAGAGACGCATATACATTTGTAACTAAACGTTATAGTTAACTACGTAGGAATTAATTAACAAAATAACACAAATTATTAAACAGTTACTGAAAAAAAGTTACTGAAAAAAAATTTTGGAATCTTACATTAGCGAAGGCTTCTAACGACAGAGTTGCCATCCCTCCCGCCGTGAGACTCAATTGTTTCTGTGATCTCATAATTACGAATAATATATTTTTACAGTTCTTAGGCGACATATTGTACCATAAAGATTCGTAAGCTGCATCTGCGAGTGATTTACTCTGAGAATAATTTAACAAAACAGAAATTAAAATAAAATGATGTACTACTTCATTAAAAAAGTTAAATACAATATCTAAATGTTATGAATATCACACAAATTATTTATAATACAAAAAAAATAACTTTCTACAAACACATACATACACGCACGCAAAAACACGCACAAATCGTGCTTATGCACGCATGTCGCATGCACACACACACACACACACACACACACACACACACATTCACGCCAGTATGTAAATATAATGTATATGTGATGACTTTTTACATTATAATTACAATATATAGTACAAAATATAAAAATAAATAAACAAACTCACAGTTACTTTAAAGTCATGTGCTTTCTCAAATGTAAATGTTATAAACAATTTTAGCTGAAAATTGTCATAGTCTATACATATATTAACAGACTATTTACTAACCTTAAGTCTAAGATATTCTCCGGCAAAGCAGAAAATAAAAATTTCTACTGTTACACCAACGTAAACAAATACGGTTTTTACTAAACCAAAGCCAGGTTCATTATTAACAGACTGTCAATTAAAAGGTCGAATAAACTGAATGAATAACGGTATAGAGCATTTGTATGGACATGGCAATACTCACTATTATGAAGAAAATTCCTAGGCTACAGATGACCAATGTATTCCAAAACACTTGCATCAAAGCCATAAAGGAAAAGAGTTTCTCGAGATTCTTGGAAAACGATATAATTTTATTGTGCTTCTCGATCAACATTCCTATTGTATGTTCAAAATATCCGTAATAGGATATTTTCTTTTCAGATATGGTTTTGAATTCTTCACATATGATATCAATTTGTCCACTTGCATGTAGTACCTAAAATAAACTTAAGCCTCTGCAAAGATTTCAAATATTATATTTGAATAAGAAAATACGTGGTGAAGAATATCTCCGTTAAATAGAGAAATATAAACACATTATATTGTCCACATAATCGAACATAATAATTGATCATCAAATAATAAAAATTGCGAGACGGGCGACATTTAAATTTCATATCATTATATCCACTTTTTACTAACGTCAGCATTGATGAAAGAAAAATTTTTGCAGAACAAGTTTAAATCGCAACAAAAATAATATTATTTAATATACACCAATAATATTCCGGTTATTACAAACCGACTTATTACAGAATATTATAAAATTTACCAGAGTAAAAATTAGCGCGCTCACAATTGTAAGCGTGTACATGTTTAACATTACATGCAGAAACAATATGACAACCAATAGCTCATAAATCGGCGATTGCTCGGCCTCAAAGGGAAAAGTTAGCTTGATGGGAAACGGTCGTGAGGTATCATTGCTGCTCTTGACCTTATGCACGATATTAAGCGCATAATCGCCCAGGAGGTAGAATACAGCAGTGATCACGTTCAAGCCGAGCATAGCATTCGAGCAAAAATGCGAAATGCTGGCTTTCGACGTCATCACTTGTAAATATCGACCGACGCTGATGCATTCTCGCCAATCAGTGTCCATAGCGACCAGTATTTCGCGAACTACGCTGCAATGTTACGCTTTAATCGAATAGATATTTTCCATGTGATGTCGTTGTCACATACATCTACGTTAAATTATGTACTTCCTTGCATCAAACAATATTTAGAATATGGAATTATTAAATCACGTTGCCCTTTAACAAAGAACAACAGGAACGAATAGTACACATTGACGGATCCGGCTGCGGTTCCGTTTCTCAAAGGCAGACACAAATCTGAAAAACTAAATTGCGTTGTCTGACGCAGGACCTTACCAACGATTTTTCCAAAGCATTGTTAACTTCACGATCGTCAAACTGTAATCTAGAGTTGCCGTCAAACTATCTACAAGATTCTGAATCTCGTCAAACTTGAAGTGCATGAAAACATAGTGATATTGAAAAAACTGCACGATCAATATGCTCAACATGTAGAAGAGCCGATTAACGATGCCATATGTCATGTCCGGCCACATGCCGAGGAACCAAAGGCCATATTTCAGTGACGGACTTATAGTGCTCCTGATTATCATCTGTCAGCGGAGCGAGGAAATGCGAAGGAACTAAAGCTGGATAATGCACGGCGCGTGGTGCACGATAAACTAAGAGCGCACCGATTCTCCAAATGCATCTCCCATGTGTCCCATGTCCCCACTCCGGTTAACACCGATCAATCGTTACGTCTGCGTTGCGTAATATAACGGTAAGTCGAGATACTGCTCATTATCGACATGGACGTCCTGTAATTTCACTCTGAATAATATTATCCGACCGCGCATTGACGCTCTGAATGATGCCCTCTGACCACAAATCGAGAAAAAAAGTTACACGTATGCCTCTTCGAGAGGTGAACAATTTATTCCGCGAATTTTTCTTCACGACAATGTAATACTGTCAACAAAAAACGGGTGACGCTCGCATTTTCTACGTGCACCGAAGACTATGTAACGTACAATGACTAGGTTGAACGATTGTAATTCCGTATTAGTTATTCTAACAGAACGGAACTGAATTGCACGCGTGACCACGTGTTTTGCAAGAAATAAACGAAAGAAGAATATTGTGTCTCCCTTTGGCGAATAGCGATTAATGACGTGTAATTTTCATAAATAGTGATATGTGTCCTCAAAAGTGCGTATGTGGATGTATATCCAAAGTTAAAAAATTCTGTATCGACCAGATATACGTAGAAGTCTAATGGAAAAACCAATGGTGTAAGGATGCTACATAATACTTGTTTTGAAATCTATAAGCTTCCCGGAAAAATAGCCACTTTATTTTTTCAAAAAAATATGTTAATATATAACATATCATCTAAGTAACAAAGAGGTATTCATTATATCTTATTAAATATGAATTTAGATTTCATAAGATACAATTACTCGATCACTCGCATAGCTGATATTAAAATTTGTTATGCAGTTACTATGTAATGTCATTTCACAAGAGTTTCTAAATTGTCACTCAGTTCTAATGACGCCTTTCAGTATTAATCCTGAGATACTATAGTTTCAATAAAATCAATACATTGCATTCAAGACGGACACATATGAAGCCGACGCTTTCATGATCTACAATTAGATGAAACAAATTACTCGCATACAGATGCATACATGTATATAAGTAAACATTTTATTTGACGACAAGCGCTGAAATTAATTAGCAAAAACTTATAACTAATTAGACAGTTATTGATCAAGAAAAATTTGAAACGCTTACACTCGCGAAGGCTTCTAACGATAAATTCGCCATTCCTCCCGCCGTAAGGCTTAATTGTTTCTGTGATCTCATAATTATGAATAATATATTTTTACCATTCGTAGGCGACATGTTGTACCATAAAGATTCGTACGCTGCATCGGCGAGTGACTTACTCTGAGAGTAATGAAACACAACAGAAATTGAAATAAAATGAGGTACTTCATTAAAGAAGTTAGATAAAATATCTGTAGGTTATGAGTATCACACAAACACATACATTTTTTATAATACAAAAAGAAATAATTTTTCATAAACACATACGTGCACGCACGCACGGACACATACGCACACACACGCGCAAACATACAAACATATATATATATATATATATATACATTCACGCTGGCATGCACATAAGATGTATATGTGATAATTTCTTACATTACAATTACAGTAAACAGTACAATATATAAAAATGAAGAAACAAACTCACAGTTACTTTAAAGTCATATGCTTTCTCAAATGTAAATGTTACAAACAATTTTAGCGAATTGTCTTAGGCTATACGTATATTAACAGACTATTTACTAACCTTAAGTCTAAGATATTCTCCGGCAAAGCAAAAAATAAAAATTTCTATTGTTATACCACCATAAGCAAATACAATTTTCACCAAACCGAAACCAGGTTCATTATGAAAAGACTGTCAATTAAAAGGCTGAATAATAAATGAATAACGATATAGAGCATTTGTATGGCTATGACGATACTCACTATCATGAAGAAGATTTCTAAACTACAAATGATTAATGTATTCCAAAACACTTGCATTAAAGCCATAAAAGAAAGAAGTTTATCAAGATTTTTGGAAAACAATATGACTTTATTATGCCTCTCAATCAACGTTCCAATTGAATGCTCAAAATTTCCGTTATAGGGTGTTTTCTCTTCAGATAAGGTTTTGAACTCTTCACATATAATATCAATTTGCCCGCTTGCATGGAGAACCTAAAATAAAGTTAAGTCTCTGTAAAGATTCCAAGTATTATGTTTCAATAAAAAAATACATTGTGAAGAATATCTCCCTTAAAGAAAGAAATATGAGCATAACATTATATTGTCCACATAACCGAACATAATAATCGGTCATCAAATAATAAAAATTGCGAGACAAGCGACATTTAAATGTCATATCTTTATATCCTTTCTTTACCAACGTCATAATTGATGTAAGAGAACTTTTGCAAACCAACAGCAAGTAATATTATTTATTTCGCATCAATAAATTTCTATTATTACTGACTTATTATAGAATAATGTAAAATTTACCAGAGTAAAAATTAGCGCGTTCACAATAGTGACTGTGAACACATTTAATATGCCATGCAGAAACAAGGTGAGAACCAACAGTTCATAGGCCGGCGATTCTTCGGCTTCAAAGGGGAAAGTTAGCTTGATGGGAAATGATCGTGAAGTGATATTGTCGCTTTTGTCCTTATTAAGCGCGTAATCGCTCAGAAGATAGAGTATAGCAGCGATCGTGTTCAAGCCCAGCATAGCATTCGAGCAAAAATACGAAATGTTGGCTTTCGACGTCATCACTTGTAAATATCGATCGACGCTGATGCATTCACGCCAATCAGTGTCCATAGCGACTAGTATTTCGCGGACTACGCTGTAATGTTATGCTGCAATATTACACTTTAATCGAATAGAGATTCTTCATGTGATGTTGTCATATTCATCTACATTAAATTATATACTTCCTCGCATCAAGCAATATTTAAATTGTACGGTTATTAAGTCACGTTGTCTTTTAATGAAAACTACAGGAACAAATAGTACATTGACGAACTCGGCTGCGGTCTCGTTTCTCAAAGACAGACACAAATCTGAAAAACTAAAAATTGCGTTGTCTGACACAGGACCTTACCGACGATTTTTCCAAAGCATTGTTAACTTCACGATCGTCAAACTATAATCTAAGGTTGCCGTCAAGCTATCTACAAGATTCTGCATCTCGTTAAACTTGAAGTGCGCGAAAACGTAGTGATATTGAAAAAATTGCATGATCAATATGCTCAACATGAAGAGGAGCCGATTAACGATGCCATATGTCATGTCCGGCCACATGCCGAGGAACTGAAGGCCATATTTCAGTGACGGACTTATAGTGCTCCTGATTATCATCTGTCAGCGAAGCGAGGAAACGCAGAGGAACTAAAGTCAAATAATGCACGGCACGAGGTGTACGATAAACTGAGAGCGCACCCACCGATTCTCCAAGTGCATCTTCCATGTGCCCCATGTCCCCACTTCGGTTAACACCGGATCAATCGTTACGTCTACGTTGTGAATATAATAGTAAGTCGAGATACTGCTCATTATCGACATGGACATCCTGTAATTCCATTCTGAATAATATTATCCGACCGCGCATCGACGCTTTGAATAATGCCTTTCGACCGCACATCGAGAAAAAAACGCATGCCTCTTCGAGAGGTGAACAATTTATAATGCGAATTTTCCTTCACGACAATGTAATGCCGTCAACAAAAAACGGGTGACCCTCGCATTTTCTACGTGCACCGAAGACTATGTAACGTACGATGACTTGTTTGAACGATTGTAATTTCGTATTAGTTATTCTAACAGAACGGAACTGAATTGCACGCGTAGCCATGTGTTTTGTAGAAAATAAATGAAGGAAGAATACTGTGTCTCCCTTTGGCGAATAACGAATAATGGCGTATAATTTTCATAAATATCATGGTGATATATGTCCTCAAAAGTGCTAATGTGAAGGTATATCAAAAGTTAAAAAATTCTGTATCAACTAGATATACGTAGAAGTCTAATGGATAAACTAGTAGTAAGGATGCTACCTAACACCTGTATAGAGATCTACAAACTTCCCGGAAAAAATATCCACTTTATTTAAAAAAAAAATGTGTTAATATGTAACATAACATCGCAGTAACAAAATTTCTTGTATCTTATTAAATATGAACTTAAATTTCATAAAATACATATATCCGATTACTCGCATAGCCGATATCAAAATTCGTTATGCAGGTGCTATGTAATGTCATTTTATAACAGTTTCCAAGTTGTCACCCAGTTCTAATGACGCCTTTCAGTATTAATCCTGAGATATTATAGTTTCAAGTAAAATCAATACATTGCATTCAAGACGGACACATATGAAGCAGACGCTTTCATGATCTACGATTAGATTAAACAAATTAATCGCAAACAGATGCATACATGCGTATCAGTAAACGTTATATTTGGTAAAAAGAGCCGGAATTAATTAGCAAAAGTTTATAAATTATTAGATAGTTCCTGATCAAGAAAAATCAAACGCTTACACTTGCGAAGACTTCTAACGATAAATTCGCCATTCCTCCCGCCGTAAGGCTTAATTGTTTCTGTGATCTCATAATTACGAATAATATATTTTTACAATTTTTAGGCGACATGTTGTACCATAAAGATTCATACGCTGCATCGGCAAGTGATTTACTCTGGGAGTAATGAAACACAACAGAAATTGAAATAAAATGATGTACTACTTCATTAAAGAAGTTAGATACAATATCTATAGGTTATGAGTATCACACAAACACATACATTTTTTATAATACAAAAAGAAATAATTTTCCATACATACAATTTTCCAATAAACACATACATGCATGCACGCACACGCACGCACGCATGGACACACGCACACACACACCCATACAAACATATATATATTCACACTGGCATGCACATAAGATGTATGTGTGATGACTTCTTACATTATAATTACAGTCAATGGTACAAAATATAAAAATGAATAAACGAACTCAGTTACCTTAAAGTCATGTGCTTTCTCAAATATAAATGTTATGAGCGATTTTAATTGAGAATTGTCTTAGGTTATATATATTAACACACTATTTACTAACCTTAAGTCTAAGATATTCTCCGGCAAAGCAAAAAATAAAAATTTCTACCGTTATACCACCATAAACAAATACAGTTTTCATCAAGCCGAAACCAGGTTCATTATGAAGAGACTGTCAATTAAAAGACTGAATAATGAATGAATACGATATAGAGCATTCGTATGGACATGGCGATACTCACTATCATGAAGAGGATTTCTAAACTGCAGATGACCAATGTATTCCAAAATACTTGCATCAATGTCATAAACGAAAAGAGTTTCTCGAGATTCTTGGAAAACGATATGATTTTATTGTGCTTCTTGATTAACGTTCCTATTGTATGTTCAAAATATCCACAATAAAATATTTTCTCTTCAGATAAAGTTTTAAATTCTTCACATATGATATCAATTTGTCCACTTGCATGAAGTACCTAAAATAAACTTAAGTCTCTGAAAAGATTTCAAGTATTATGTTTGAAAGGAAAATACGTAGTAAAGAATATTTCCGTTATAGAAAAAAATATGAGCATAACATTATATTGTCCACATAATCGAACATAATAATCGGCCACCATAATAAAAATTGCGAAACGAGCGACAATTAAATTTCATATCTTTATATCCTTTTTTACCAACGTCAGAATTGATGTAAGAGAAACTTTTGCAGACCAATTTTAAACAGCAAGTAATATTATTTACCTCACATCAAGAATTTCCGATTATTACCGACTTATTACAGAATATAGTAAAATTTACCAGAGTAAAAATTAGCGCATTCACAATGGTAACCGTGAACACGTTTAACATGACATGCAGAAACAAGGTGAGAACCAACAGCTCATACGTCGGTGATTGTTCGGCTTCAAAAGGAAAAATTAGTTTGATGGGAAATGGTCGCGAAGTAATATTGTCGTTCTTGTCCTTATGCACAATATTAAGTGCGTAATCGCCCAGGATGTAGAGTATAGTAGCGATTGTGTTCAAGCCCAGCATAGCATTCGAGCAAAAATGCGAAATGCTGGCTTTCGACGTCATCACTTGTAAATATCGATCGACGCTGATGCATTCACGCCAATCAGTGTCCATAGCAACAAGTATTTCGCGAACTACGCTGCAATGTTACGCTTTAATCGAATAGAGATTCTTCATGTGATGTCGTTGTCACATTCATCTACGTTAAATTATGTACTTCCTCGCATTGAGCAATATTTAGATTGTACAATCTAATAAAATCAATAAAATTATTAAATCACGTTGCCCTTTAACAAAAACAACAGGAACGAATAGTACACGTTGATGTACTCGGCTGCGGACTCGTATTTCAAAGGCAGATACAAATCTGAAAAACTGAAAATTGTGTTGTCTGACGCAGGACCTTACCGACGATTTTTCCAAAGCGTTGTTAACTTCACGATCGTCAAACTGTAATCTAAAGTTACCGTCAAACTATCTACAAGATTCTGCATCTCTTCAAACTTGAAGTGCACGAAAACGTAGTGATATTGAAAAAATTGCATGATCAATATGCTCAACATGTAGAAGAGCCGTTTAACAGTGGAGAATGCCATGTCCGGCCATATGTCGAGAAACCGAAGACCATATTTCAGCAACGGACTTATAGTGCTTGTGATTACCATTTGTCAATGATAGCGAGAAAATACAAGGACAACTACAGCCGGTTCATATACGGCACGATGTGTAGTATAAACTGAGAGGGCATAGACCGTTTCTTCGTGTACATCCCCACGTGCTGCGTCCCCACTCAGTTCACAACTGATTAAGTAAACGTTATCGTGCGTTGGATAGTAATAATAAGTCGAGATATGACTTATTATTAGCACGAACCTCTTATAATTCCGTCGACTACACTTCATAATACCATCTGACCGCGTATAAACGCTCTAAATAATGCCTTCTGACTGCGTATCGAAATAAAGTTACACATATGTCTCTTCGAGAAATAGAAAGCTTCCTTCCGCGAATTTATCTGCACGACATGAAATATCTGATAAAATACGACAAACAATGAATCATCTTCGCGTTTTCTACGTGTACCGATGACTATTTGACATACGGCAACTCAGTTCAGTGATCGAAATTCCGCTTTTATTATTCCACCGTACCGGAACTAAATTACACACAAAGACACGAGTTTAGAAAAAAATGCACGAAGGAAGACATCGCTTCTCCCTTGGTCTGAAGATGAATAGCGAATAATAGCAAATAATTTTCATAAATGCTGCGGTGAAATGCGTTTTCATGGGCGTACATTCAAAAGTATATCAAAAGTTGAAAAATTCTTTATCGACCAGTTACATTTAGAAGTCTACCGTAAGAAAAAGTATTATGTATGAAGATGTTACCTAATACGTGTGTGGAGATCTACAAGCTACTCGAAGAAAAATCAAATGGATATACTTTTAACACGGTGCGATGTCACTTTATTCTTTTCGAAATAATTATTTTAATATATAACATGCCTTTGAAGTATAAAAATGTATTTCCTGAATGTTATTAAATATAAACCTGTATTTTATAGAATATGAAATTCCGATAATAGTCCCATAATTAATATCACAATTTGTTATGCATTTATTATATCATTTGTAAAGTATCTAATCTGTCATTACTTATTAATGGCGTCGGGCGATGTTAATTCTGGTGTACTACAGTTTCAAATAAAATCAATACATGGCATTCAAGACGGACACATACGACGCTGACGCTTTCATGATCTACAATAAGATGGAACGAATTATTTGTAAACAGTTGCATATATGGTGTATAATTAAACGTTATACTTTTTAATAGCACAGGAATTAATTAGCATTAGTTAAACGTTAAATTTTTTAATAGCACAGAAATTCATTAGCAAAAGCTTACAAATTATTAAGCAATTCAGCAGTAATAAAAAAAAATTCGAAAACTTACACTCACGAAAGTTTCTAGCGATAAATTCGTCATCCTTCCTGCCGTGAGGTTCAACTGTTTCTGGGATCTCATAATTATGAATAATATATTTTTACCATTTTTAGGAGACATGTTATACCATAAAGATTCGTACGCTGCATCGGCGAGTGATTTACTCTAGGAGTATTGTAGCACCCCAGAAATTGACGTAAAATAATATATTATTTCATTATACAAATTATATCGTTATATTATTATACAAACAGTGTCTATAAGTTATGAGTATCACATATATATATTATTTGCAAAAAATAAAATAACTCTCCATATTTTACACACGTACACACACCAAGCACACAAGCTCATATGTGAGTGTATGTGTGTGCGTAATTATTTACTGTATTATATAATTACATTATACAGGTAAAACAATATTAAAGTGAATAAACGAACTTATACTCATTTTTAAATGCACGTATTATCTCAAATATAAATATTTAAGCGCTTTTCATTGAAAATTGTCTTAAACTACGTGTATATCTCAACAACTTACTAACCTTAAGACTAAGATATTCTCCAGCGAAGCAAAAGACAAATATTTCTATCGCTATAGCGAGATAACAAAATACGGCTTTCACCAAACCGACGCCAGGTTTGTTATGAAAAGTCTGTTCAATTAAAAGGCTGAATAAGCTGCATGATTTACCATATGAATCACTGAACATTTGTACGGATACTGCTATACTCACTATTATCAAGAGAATTCCTACGCAACAGATGACCAATGTATTCCAAAACACTTGCATTAAAGCCATAAAAGAAAGAAGTTTATCAAGATTCTGGGAAAACAATATGACTTTATTATGCCTCTCGACCAACGTTCCTATTGTATCCTCAGAATGTCTGTAATAGGGAAATTTCTCAGAGATGATTTTGAACTCTTCACGTATGATATCAATTTGTCCACTTGCATGAAATACCTAAAATGTACTTAAGTTTCTGCAAAGATATCAAACATTTGAATATGAAAATATACGGTGAAAAATACCTCCGACGAAAGAAAAAATGTGAGCTTAACATAATATTGTTCACATACTCAAATATAATAATCGGTTACTAAATTATAAAAATTATTGGACGTGTAAATTTCATACTTTCAAATTCATTTTCTTTCCCACTGCCAGAGAGAATTGTAAGGGCGACTTATGTAGACAAAGTTCGAAACGCAGATAAAGTAATATTATTTAACACGGACAATAATTTTTGTTTATGAACCGATTTATCATGGAATATTGTGAAATATACCAGAGTAAAAATTAAAGCGTTCACAAGGGAGAACGTGAACACGTTTAACATTACATGCAGAAACAATATGATAAACAACAGTTCATAGATCGGCGATTGCTTGCTCTCAAAGGGAAACATTATCTTGATTGGAAACGGCCGTGAGGTATCATTGTCGCTCTTAGTCTGATGCACGTTACTAAGTGCATAATCGCCCAGGAGATAAAGCACAGAGGTGATCATGTTCAAGCCTAACATAGCGTTTGAGCAAAAATGCGAAATGCTGGCTTTCGCCGTCATCATTTGCAAATATCGATCAACGCTCACGCACTCACGCCAATCCGTGTCTATAGCCTCCAGTATTTCGCGAATGACACTGCAATGTGACGCTTTAGTCGGATAGAGCTTCTTCATTGTAGTACCGTTGTCACATCTATACGAAATCATGACTTCGCCACATCAATATTTACATCGTGCAATTATTAAATCACGTTGCTTTTTAATGAAAATCAAGCAGTACACATTGAAAGACTACGGTATGGTTTCGTTTCTCGAAAGCGGATACAGATTGGAAAAGCTGAAAATTATGTCATGTCTGACATAGGACATTACCGACGATTTTTCCAAAGCGTCATTAATTTCATGATCGTCAAACTATATTCTAAAGTTGGTGGTAAGCTGTCTGCCAAATTCTGTATCTCGTCGAACTTGAAGTGCTCGAAAACATAGAGATATTGAAAATACTGCATAATTAGAATACTCGATATATAAACAAGCCGTTTAATGGCGACATATGCTATGTCCGGCCACACACCGATGAACTGTAATCCAGTCTTCAGCAACGGGCTGATCGTGCTTGCGATTGCCATCTGTCAATGACAACGAGAAGACGCGAGAGAAACTAAAGCCGGATTATATACGGCACAATGTAAAGTATAAACTGAAAGAGCAGAAACCGATTCTCCAATTGCATCCCCATGTGATCCGTCCCCACTCCGCTTGCCAACGATCAATCGTTGTTGTGCGTTAGGTAGTATAGCAGTAAATCGAGGTATAACTTATTATCAGAACGAACCTTTTACAATTCCGCCGACTGTTCTGAATAATGCCATCTATGCATCGACGCTCTAAATAATAACTTCTATTCGCGCATCGAGAAAAAGTTATACGTATGTCTCTTCGAGGGGTGGACGGGTCTTTTGTACGAATTTTCCATGACAACGTAATACCTTCGACAAAAAATGAATAATGGTCACGTACTTATCGCGAATTCCGCGTACCAATGTCCATTTAACGTACTGTAACTCAATTCAACGCGATCGTAATTTCGCTTTCATTATTCTACCGGACCGGAATTAAATTACATGCGTGGATATGACCCTTACAAATATAGACGAGGGAAGGACATTCTGACTCCCTTGGTCTGAAGACGATTAGAGAATAATAGTGAATAATTTTCATAATTTCTGCGTTGAAATATGTTTTCATGGCTGCATATTTAAAGGCATATTAAAAGGTAAAATTCCTTTATCGACCAGATATACATAGAAGTCTAGGATAAGAACAAGTATTGTGAAGTTGCTACCTAATATGTGCGTGGAGATTTACAAACTCTTTGAAAAAAGTTCAACAACAGATACCTTTAACATAATGTTAAGCCACTTTATTTTTCTCAAAGAATTATATTAACATATGATCTCGGAATAATAAAAATGTATTTTTCTTATCTTATTAAATGAGAACCCGAATTTTATAAAGTGCGAACCCCTGATCACACATAATCAAAAATCAAATATCGTTACGCAGTTATTATAGAATATCTTATCTAAATTCCTTCTAAAAAACATTTCTTACTAATGGCATTAATCAGTGTTAATTCTATGATATTCTATAGTTTCAAGCAATATCAATACATGGCATTCAAGACAGATACATATGACGCCGACGCTTTCATGATCTACAATAAGGTAAAACAAATTATCCGCAAAAAGTTGCACATATATGTATAGTTATATTTGCTATCAAGCGCAGGAATTAATTAGCAAAAGCCTATAAATTATTAAGCAGTTATTGATCAAAAAAATCTGTAAGCTTACACCCACGAAGGTTTCGAACGATAAATTCGTCATCCCTCCCGCCGTTAGGTTCAATTGTTTCTGGGATCTCATAATTACGAATAATATATTTTTACAATACTTAGGCGACATGTTATACCATAAAGATTCGTATGCTGCATCGGCGAGTGATTTACTCTGGGAGAAATGAAACAAAACAGAAATTGAAGTAAAATGATGTAGAGGAAACCGGGTCTGGAAGTCACACGGGTCGGAAGTCATAAAACTTATATGTCACGTCTTAAGTAAAGGAAAATATTCTTCTTTATACTGTACGTTGCTTATGTTATATGTTAGTCAGATGAACGAACAGTTTATAGCCAAAATCTCGCACATATAGTATTTAGAAGCACTTTTTTTTTAATTCGATACATGAGTAAATTTTTGTCATCTCTATTATTAATTTTCTGTTGGTTTTAGGATTACTAGTCGCAATTTCTCTTTATATATAAAAAGTATTATACTTTTTGCTAATTTTCCCAGTATTTAATTCATCGTTACTACAACTTATTTATAAATATGATCTCTTTTATTGTAAATGAATGTTCAGGATAAACTGACTCAAATCCGGTAAGATTCATTGTCATGTTATGTCATTCCTTAGGCATGCGCGTGGGAGCACATGTAGTTATCGCCAAATGTTGTTAAAGTAAATCCGATTAATTTAATAATATATATGTTATAAACGTTTTTAATTGAGAGTTGTCTTAAGCTATACATATTTATCTCAACAACTTACTAACTTTAAGACTAAGATATTCTCCAGCGAAGCAAAATATAAATATTTCTATCGTTATAGACAGGTAACAAAATATGGCTTTCACCAAACCGACACCAGGTTCGTTATGAAAATCCTGTTAAATTAAAATGCCAAATAAGCGAATTACTATATAGATGTTTGACTATTCGTGCGGACACTGCTATACTTACTATTATCAAGAGAATTCCTACGCAACAGATGACTAAAGTATTCCAAAACATTTGCATCAAAGCCATAAAGGAAAGAAGCTTATCAAGATTCTTGGAAAACAATATGACTTTATTATGCCTCTCAATCAACATTCCTATTGTATCCTCAGAATGTCCGTAAGAGGGAAATTTCTCAGTTATGGTTTTGAACACGTCACATATGATATCGATTTGTCCACTTGCATGAAAAACCTAAAATATACATAAGTTGCTGCAAAGATATCAAATATTACATTTAAATATTAAAATACAGGGTGAAGGATATCTCCGTCAAAAGAAGAAAAGTGAGTTTATCGTAATATTATACACATACTCGAATAATCGGTTACCAAATTATAAAAATTGTCGGGTGATGTGTAAATTTCATATCTTCAAATTTGTTTTATCTCAACGCCAGAATTGTAGAAGCAACTTTTGTAGACAATGTTTAAAATGCGTGTTAAGTAATATTATTTAACAGGCATCAATAATTTTTGTTTGTGAACTGATTGACCAGAAAATATTGTGAAATATACCAGAGTGAAAATTAGGGCGTTCACAATAGAGAACGTGAACACATTTAACATTACATGCAGAAACAATATGACAAACAACAGCTCATAAATCGGCGATTGTTCGCTCTCGAAGGGAAACATTATCTTGATGGGAAACGGTCGTGAGGTATCATTGTCATTCTTGGCCACGTTACTAAACGCGTAATCACCCAGTAGATAGAGCACAGTAGTGATCACGTTTAAGCTCAGCATAGCGTTTGAACAAAAATGCGAGATGCTGGCTTTCACCGTCATCACTTGTAAAAATCGATCGACGCTCAAACACTCGCGCCAATCACTATCTATAGCCTCCAGTATTTCGTTAATCACGCTGCAATATAATGCTTTAATCGGATAAAGCTTCTCCTTTGTAGTGCCGTTGTCACACAATATCCACACAAAATTATACTTCCTCACATCGACCGATGTTTATATCGCGCAATTATTAAATCACGTTGCTTTTTAAAGAAATTCAAATACAACAAATAGTACACATTGAAAAACTACGGGGCGGTCTCGTTTCTCGAAAGTAGATGCAAATCAGAAAAAATGTAAATTGCTGAATGACACAAGACTTTACCGGTAATTTTTCCAAAGCATCGTTAGCTTCACGATTGTCATACTGTATACTAAAGTTGGTGGCAAACTATCTGCCAGATTCTGCATCTCGTCGAACTTGAAATGCTCGAAAACGTACAGATATTGAAAATACTGCATGATTAGTATGCTCGATATATAAACGAGTCGTTTAACGGCGACGTACGCTATGTCCGGCCACACACCGATGAACCGTAGTCCAGTCTTTAGCACCGGACTAATCGTGCTTGTGATGACCATTTCTGTCTATGACAGCGAGAAGACACGAGAGAAACTAAAACCAGATCATGTACGGCGCGATGTATGGTATAAACTGAGAGAACACCGACAGATTCTCAAAGTGCATCCCCACGTGCTATGTCCCCACTCCGCTCACCAGCGATCAATTGTTGTATTGCATGTTGGATAGTATAATAGTAAGTCGATATACAACTCATTATCAGCACGAACCTCTTGTAATTCCGTCGACTGATTTGAATAATGCTTTCTAACCGCGCATCGAAAAAAAATTACACGTGTGTCTCTTCGATAGATGAACGATTCTTTCCGTGAATTTTTCTCCATGACAATGGAATATCTCCGATAAAAACGGATGATCCCCGCTTTTTCTACATATACCGATGACCATTTAACATACGTTGACTCAGCTTAATAATCGTAATTCCGCCTTTATGATTCTAACGGGCCGGAATTAAATTATATGTGTAGCGGTGAGTCTTGGAAAAAATTAACTAGTGGAGGACATCATATCTCCCTTGGTCTGAAAATGAATAGCGAATAATGGCAAATAATTTGTATAAATGCTATGCTGAGGTGCATTCTCACAGGTGTACATTTCAAAGTATTTCAAATGTTAAATCAATTTTTTATTAACCAGATATATTGAAAAATCTAGGATGAATACAAATATTATATATGAAGATACTACTTAATATGTGTTGAGATTTATAGACTCCTCGAAGAAGGATCAATAACAAATATTTTTAATATGTTATGAAGTTACTTTATTCTTCTTCAAAATTATTCTAATATTTCTTCTTCAAAATTATTCTAATATATAATCTCAAAATAATAAAGACTTGTTTTTTGTATTTTATAAATAAGATATAGAATTTTAGAAATTGCCGAACACGATACTATAATCAATATTAAGTTCTGTCATACGTGTATATATATATATATATATAGTTATTATATAATATCATTTATAACAGTCTCTAAATTGTAACTCCGTATTAATGACATAATGTTAGTGTTAATCCTGGTGTACTACAGTTTCAAATATAATCAATGCATGGCATTCAAGACAGATATATATGAGGCCAATGCTTTTATTATCTACAATAAGATGAAACGAATTAGTCACAAACATATATATTTATATATTATATATATATATACATATATATATATTTATAGGTAAACGTTATATTCTGTAACAAATTGAAGAATCAATTAGTAAAAGCTTACAAATTACTAGGCAGCTACTCTTTAAGAAAAATCCGGGAGCTTACACTCACTAATGTTTCTAATGATAAATTCGGCATCCCTCCCGCTGTCAGGCTCAATTGTTTCTGGGATCTCATAATTATTAATAATATTAAATATTATTTTATTTGAGTTAAGTAAATATTATTTAAACATAGCACTTTTGTTCTTTCCTTTCTTTTAGTATGCTACATTCAAATAATATTTACTTAATCCAAATGAAATAAATCACTCCAGTATTCCTTAGCAAATATTTATTTGAACGTAGCAATTTTTTTTTAGTGTAGGTTTGTAAAATGCGAAACCCCAATCAGTCATCCCATATTCGATATTAAAATTTGTTATGCAGTTGTGTAATATCATTCATAACAGTCTCCATATTGTCATTTCGTATTAATGACGCTATTCATTGTTAATCCTGACATACTGCAGTTTCAAGCAAAATTAATACATCGCATTCAAGACAGATATATATGACGCCGACGCTTTCATGATCTACAATAAGATGAAACGAATTATAAGCAAACAATTGCATTTATATATATAAGTAAACATTTGATTTGATAACTAGTGCAGAAATTAATTAGCAAAAACTTATAAATAATTAGGCAGTTATTGATCAAGAAAAATGTGGAAGCTTACACTCGTGAAGGCTTCCAACGATAACTTCGTCATTCCTCCCGCCGTAAGGCTTAATTGTTTCTGAGATCTCATAATTATGAATAATATATTTTTACAGTTTTTAGGCGACATGTTGTACCATAAAGATTCATACGCTGCATCGGCGAGTAATTTACTCTGGGAATACATAACGTAATACAAGCAAAAATTGATGTAAAATAATATTCTACATCATTAAATAAATTAGAAACAGTGTTTACATAGATTATAGATATACACACATAAAAATATTTATAATACAAAAGAAATAACTCTCTGTACTATACACATACACGCAAGCACGCACGCAATTCACGTGTATATGTGTATGTATGATTTCTTCTTGCATTACAATTATGCTACATAGAAAGAATAAAATATAAAAATAGATATATATGATATTGAATAAACAAACTTATACTCATTTTAAAATGCATGTGCGTATTTCCAAATATGTACGTTATGAGCGTTTTTAATTAAGAATTGTCTTAAGCTATATGCATGTATAAATCTACTACTTACTAACCTTAAGACTTAGATATTCTCCAGCGAAACAAAAGATAAAAATTTCCATCATTACATCCATGTAACCAAACATGGTTTTCACCAATCCGAGACCAGCTCCATTATGAAGAGACTGTTCCATTAAAAGGCTTAGTAAAACTGAATGAATTACAATGTAAATCATTCAGCATTCTTACGGGCACTGCAATACTCACTATCATGACGAGAAATCCTAGGCAACAGATAACCAATGTATTCAAAAACACTTGCATCAAAGCCGTAAAGCAAAAAAGTTTGTCGAGATTCTTGGAAAACGATATAACTTTATTGTGCCGTTCAATTAATAATCCTATTGAATCCTCGGAACATTCGCAATAGGATAATCTTTCAGATATGGTCTTGAACTCTTCACATATGACATCAATTTGTCCACTTACATGAAATACCTAAAATAATTTAAGTTTCTGCAAAGATTTCACTACGTGCTGAAGAATATCTCCGATCAAAAAAGGAAAAGAGAACATAATATAATATTGTCCACGTGCTTGAATATAATATTAGTTATTAAATTATAATCATTATTTTTGACAGATGACGTGTGAATTTTATATTTTCATATCCAATTTTTACCTATGTCAGGATTGATAAAAAAGCGACTATCATAGATCAAGTATAAAATGCGAGTTTAGAAAAATTTTTTAACTCACGTCAATTATTTTTGGTTTTAATTTAATTACGAACCGAATTATTATAGAATATTGTAAAATGTACCAGAGTAAAAATTAACGCGTTCACAATAGTAAGCGTGTACATGTTTAACATGACATGCAGAAACAAGATTACAACCAACAGCTCATAGACTGGCGATTGCTCGGCTTCAAAGGGTAACGTTATCTTGATAGGAAACGGTCGTGAGGTATCATTGTCACCTCCCGCCTGATGTACGACACCAACCGCGTAATCGCCCAGAAGGTAGATCACAGCAATGCTTGTATTCACTCTCAGCATAGTGTTCGAGCAAAAATGCGAGATACTAGCTTTGGCCATCATCATTTGCAAATACCGATCGACGTTCATGCATTCCCGCCAATCAGTGTCCATAGCGGCCAGTATTTCGCGAATCACACTGCAATATGACACTTTAATGGGACAGAGAATCTTCGTGTGTTATCGTTGTCACATCTATGCGAAATATACTTGTTCCTTCCGAGCAATATCTAGATCGTATGTTTATTAAGTCACGTTGCTCTTTGACGAAGAGAAAAGGGAATCGATAATATTAAAAGAGCGGCCGGTTCGTTTCGCGAAAACGGACACAGACTGAAAAATCCGGAAAGCACATTTCCTGACGCAGGACCTTACCGACGGTTTTTCCAAAGCATCGTCATCTTGATGATCGACAAACTATAATCTAAAGTTACCGGCAAGTTGTCCATAAGGTTCTCCATCTGGTCGAACTTACAGTGTGCAAAAACATAATGATATTGAAAATACTGCATGATTAGCATGCTCGACATGTAAAGCAGCCGGTTAACGGCGGCGTATGCCATGTTCGGCCAAATACCGAGAATTCGAAGGCCATATTTCAGTGACGGACTTATAGTGCTCGTAATTACCATCTGTTAACGATAGCGAAGATAGGCGAGGACAAATTAAAGACGAAACATGCACAGCGTGATGTATACTATAAACTAAGAGAGCATCGGCCAATGCTCCAAGTGTATCCCCACGTACTACATCCCCACTCTGATCTCCACCAATCAATCGTTATTGTACGTCATGTAATATAACAGTAAGTCAAGATACAACTCATTATCAGCACGGACGTTCTGTAATTTTGTCGACTGTTGTGAATAATGCTGTACAACCGTACATTGACGTTCTAGGTAACGTTTTCTGACAATACATAAAAAAGTTACCCGTATTTTCCTTCGAGAGATGGATGATTCTTATCCGGGAATTTTCCTCCACGACAATATACTAACTTCGACAAAAAATGAATGACCGTTGCGTTTTCTACGTGTGCCGAAGACCATTTAATACACTATAGCTCGGTTCAGCTGTCGCAATTCCGTATTTATTATTCTAACGAATCGGAACTGAATTACATGTGTGACCATGAGTCTTAGTAAAAATGAACGAGGGGAGAATATTGTGTCTCGTTTGGACTGAAGACGAATATCTAATAATGGCGAATAATTTTCATAAATGCTACGGTATGATGTGGTCTCAAAGGTGCACATTTTGAGGTGTATCAAATGATAAAAAATTCTTCATAGATCAGATATACTTAGAAATTTAGGGTGAGGACAAATATTATGTGTAATGATGCTAACTAATATGTGTGTTGTGATTTATAAACTTGAAGAAAGATCAACAGCAAATACTTGTAACGCGGTATGAAGTTTATTCTCCTCCAAAGAATTATTTCAGTACATAATCTCTAAATAATAAAGATATATTCTTTGTATTTTATAAATAAGATATTGATTTCTATAAATTGAGGATCACCCAGCACAATATCATAATCAATAAAAAAAATTATATATATATATAATTTTAAAATAAATCGCCACTTTTCTAAAATTTTCGTTTTTCTTTTGTAGGCTAAGTACTTATCGGACCGCCCTCGTATATATGTGTGTGNTTGATTATATTATAGATAATAAAAGCATCGGCCTCATATATATCCGTCTTGAATGCTATGTATTGATTTTATTTGAAACTGTAGTACACCGGGTTTAATACTAATATGGTGTCATTAACATGGTGTGACAATTTAGAGACTGTTATAAATGATATTATATAATAACAATATATATATGTATATATATATATATATATATACATATATATATTGTTATTATATAATATCATTTATAACAGTCTCTAAATTGTCACACCATGTTAATGACACCATATTAGTATTAAACCCGGTGTACTACAGTTTCAAATAAAATCAATACATAGCATTCAAGACGGATATATATGAGGCCGATGCTTTTATTATCTATAATATAATCAAACAAATTAGTTGTAAACATATGTATATTTATAGGTAAACGTTATATTTGGTAACAAGTCCAGGAATCAATTAGCAAAAGCTTACAAATTACTAAGTTGTTACACTTCAAAAAAAATCTGGAAGCTTACACTCACGAAGGTTTCTAATGATAAATTCGCCATCCCTCCTGCTGTGAGACTCAATTGTTTCTGAGATCTCATAATAATGAATAATATATTTTTATTGTTCTTAGGGGTCATATTGTACCATAAAGATTGGTATGCTGCATCGGCGATTGATTTGCTCTGAGAATAATGAAAGAAACGAGGAATTGAAATAAAATTCAATACTTCATTAAACAAATTACAAGAAGTGTCTATATAAATATCACATACACATATATTAATTATAATATAAAAAAATAACTTTCCATAATGCATACATTCGCACGCACGCTCATGCGAGCCTATGTGTGTATGTGTAATGATTTCTTGCATTACACTTACAGTNAGGTGTGTTCAAAAAGTATCACGAATTTTGAATTTCCGCGGGTTACGTATATTCGATTTTCGATTTTTTTGTGGCGTTATGTTGATATTCATGTCCCTCACTTATGCCGACAAGTTCGGCCATTTTGAATATTCAGTTTATCTTTGACAGCTGTTTTGCTTGAACGTGTTTTGGCTCGTCTACGATTTTTGCTTATTCCAAAAAATGGATCAAAGAATCTGTATCAAATTTTGTGTGAAAAACAAAATTAAATGCGCGGACGCATTCCGAATGTTGAATGTGACGTATGGTGAAGCTACTTTGGACCGAAGCAACGTTTATCGGTGGTACAAAATGTTCTCAGAGGGCCAAGAAAATATGAACGACGAAGAGCGTGCCGGACGCCAACAACAGCCGGAGCACGTCAACAACAGACGAAAACATTGATGAAGTGAAGAAAATAGTATTGGCCAATCGTCGAATCACCGTTAGAGAAGTTGCTGAGGACCTAAACATATCGATTGGCTCGTGTCCATCCAAATTTACTAATGATT